AAATATTTGAAGAAGCTGCATTTTGGAAAATTTATTAAATGTTAAACCTGGAAATATGGCATTATTTGCATATAAGGGTTGCTACCAAAAGTGAAAGTGAAAGCGGGGGGGGGGGGAGGGGAGGGGAGGGGAGGTGAGGGGCAGAGGGGTGAAGGAAGGAAGGGAGAAGAAGAAGAAGGGAGGGAAGGGGGGGAGAGAGAGAGAGAATTATAAGTAGGCATTTGGAGTGAACTTGTTAAAGGTTGCCAATTTCTCACGGAATAAAGTATGTGAGGTTTATGGCACTGTCTTGCATCTCACCCCACTTTTGTGAAGGTGTATTGTGAACACCCACATTTGTGGTATTTTTTATTTTATGACCTCTGTCCATCAGTCAAGAATCATATCAATAGACGCTTCAGTCATGACATCAGTTCTCTTTTAACCTCGAAAACTTGGGGCTAGTTGTCGATTCAAGATTTAACTTAAATAATTGCCCCCTTCAACCATTTAATTAATTAAGTAGTCAGTGGCATTGATTTTCATGCATAACATTTAAAAAAGAGAGGCCAAAACTGCACAATTTATCATATATGAAAGTGCGGGAAAGATGAAAGCAAGAAAAACACAAACTGCTGGCAAGTGCTCACGAGCTAATTCTGTGCCAACTGACTTAGATGGGACGGCTGTACAATAAGTTTGTGCCAACAGCCCAGCCTTCAAACCTTTTACTGCACATCTTGTTTTTGACAATTGCTTTTCGTAAATGGTGCAATTTATGGCTTAATCTAACTCTTGATGTTGTGCCACTTACCGAATAAACATGGGAAACATTTGAGCCCTGCCATAATCATGTGGGTCTCTCTATCATGATTATATGAATGCACCTGTAGAGCACATGCACCTTTGTGTATAGGGAAGTTAAATATTTTTTTCATGACTATATTTATTTTAGTCACTCTGGATAAAAGTCATTTGAAATGCTAATGCAGTCTACATAAAGAAACAGCAGTGCTGCCTGCTTAAGTGGAACAATGTGAAAAAACAAAGAAAAAAGAGCATGCATTATCTAAAATTGTTTAGCCCTAGACAGAATGGCAGTATATAACAGTTGTTGCTCTATTATCGTCACAGCTGGTGGGTTGTTTTAGAGCTCTTTGCTCTAAAAAGGAGGCTTGTTAGTGTTGGAGGGTGCGTTATGGTAGACAGTGGGGGAGTTGAAAATACTCAAACTTGTCCATTAATTGCCATTGAATTATTTGAATTTGGGTTGGTTACAAACCTAGATATGTCTCAAATGGCGAAAACAAGCGGAAGCATGGGGCACGATGAATGAGACACAGAGAATTGGTGTCTTGAAAATGTTTTGCGAGTAGCCTGCTACATATCTTTTTATTCTTGCAGTCTTCATGTTGTGAGTTTCGTGACTAGTTATTCTTTTTTGTCTGTTCTGGCTCGCTAACTCCAAGGCTGCTTTTATTTTACAAATATGACACCACGAGAAGAAATTAAAGCTTTTTACTCTTCCTAATTCTACGTAGCGCATAGATTGGACACCATGCAGAAGTTGCAGATATTACTTTACTGGTCCCCTATCATTCCTTGCTCGGAAATCTTTTTTTAAAATTAAATTAATTTCAAAGCTGTTTTTTCTCATCTCACTCGCGTCGTAGAAGCCGATGGCAATCGAAGACCGCCCTCCGCAATCTTTGGAATGCAGCAGCCACATTTCTTTTTTATTCTCGTTTTGTTTCGGCTTTTTGCTTGATTAGATATTTCCGAGAGAAGTGTGCTGCCTGTTCCTGGAGACGCTTGGGTATCTCACAGCCGGCCGTGCATTGTTGTCGACCGTCACGTTCGCCTCCGATATCTCGGGGGTTTGGCGGCCGAGTGCGTTAACGTACCGGAGCAGCTCGGAACACTTGGAGCGAAAGCTCGCGCTGCAGAACCCAGGGATCCTGGGTTCAATTCCCACCCCTGCCCATTTCGATCTAGATGAGCATCGTACTGGTGTGCAGTCGTGTATCACTACTGCGTAGTGCACATTGACCCCAGGCTAGTGGTTGTACCGCACCGGCTAAATTGCTCATCTACAGCCGAGACACCAGACTCCCATTGTGGCTGACTAACTTCCGGCTGTCTAAACATACTCACAACACAAGTACCTCCAATATCTCAATCAGGTGGGGGCACTACCTGCAGATGCCACGTGACTCGCTTGCCATCGTTGTGCCAGTTGTGCCGGCTGTGCATTGCCCCGCTCTCCCGTTGGATGGGGTCCAGTGTTTGTAATCTCGTGGAGCACTCCTTGAGTGTGTGTCTGACGAGGCCTCCGTGCGCTATCTGCACGAGGGCCAAGGGTCGCGACTCTATTATTGCTCGCGAAGGAGGAAGTGTTCTTCCCGTCACCTTCTTCTTGGTCTTGTCCACACCGTTGTTTATTTACCGCTACTCCTTTGTACCCTCGCGAGAATCACCGGCATGTTGGCTACCTCTTTGCAGGAACTGTATTCGGAGCGTTTGTGACAAACTAAAGTGCGAAAAGGTTAAGCAACCACCTTAATCAGACAGGCATGCGCTCACCAAACGATCGTCTGCCTCATCATTGACAGCAGCAGTTGTCAACTTTTTGTTAGAGCCGCTAAAAGTAAGGCACGCTTTAGAGTGGTGCCACCAACTTTAAGCGCCACTCGCGCCACTTCAGCCACCGGATGGATGGATAGATGCTAATGGCTGTACCCTTTATAACGGGTGGTAGCTTGTGCCACATAGCCTAAAAACTTTAGCCTAAACTAGCCTAAAAATATTTAGGCACCTCGGTGCCTAAAACCATTGTTGCCAGTTATCTCAGGCTTCATCTGAAATCACAGGGACACAGCAAAACTATACCGTTTCGGCCTCCTGACATTGTATCTAAGGCTAAGGAAGTCACATTTTCAAACCGTAGCTATTGCCGACTGAGCTTGCCCTGCGCAAGCACCAAACTGGTAATCACGAGACCATTGGTGAATGTAATGCCGATACTCTAAGCATCCGCTGGCCCCCTCCACTTCTAGTCTGACTTGTGTCTTTTTTTTTTTTAGTTTGCAATTATTGGTCCTCCAAGTTTCATACAAAGGCGGCTAGTACATTCATGATTCCTCAGGTCAGGCACATAGCCAGGATTTTGATTTGGGGGGGGGGGGGGGGGGGGGGGGCGGGGGGGGGGGGGGGGGCCGGGCCGGGCCCGCCCATGACAAAATGCTGTATGAGGGGGAGAGGGAGACGAGGCCCCAGCAAAATTGAAGATTTCGGGGGGGGGGGGGGGGGGGGTCCCATGGGCCCTCCCTTTTTGGATACGTGCCTGCCTCAGGTGCCTCGCGGGACCATTAAACTAGGTCAACGTAAGTACTGTGGCTGCCAGATGGCTTCATACATTGGCCCATGGAACGGGGAGGCTGATAAGGTTGCAGTTACTTTCGCGCATTTTCTACAGGACAATTCATAACGGTCCCCAGCTTGTGCTCCATGATTTTGACCGTGAGAGAAATATGACGAGCAAAGGCAGTAAGTTACAACACAAGCTTCCGGGGGTTTCGTATCTATATTTGGAAGTAAAGCAGATTTTGTGCTATAAAACAGTTTCTCCCGGATTTCGAAAGCTTCCGGAACTGTGATAGTTTCTTAAGCTCATAGGTTGCCTTTTATAGGTTGCCTCGTTACATTACTGAAATTTGAAGTGGAAGGTCGTCAAAGAGTTGTGAAAATATAAAACATCCCTTAAAATCATGTTTTGTTTTCATAAAAAGAAAAGTATTTTTGAATAAAGGTTTGACCTGTAGGAACATGCTGTAAATGACTTAACTTTCGTGAGGACCTAAGTTTTTGCAAATTTCACAATTTGAAAATTGGTGTAAAACATTGATTATGCATATACATCACCCCACGGTAATAAATACACCATTCCCAATCGCAAACTTTTTGCTTGCAAAATATTTCCGAAACCTGCTCTTTTAAAAATTTACGGAATATTGAGCCCGCGAAATTTAAGTAATTTACAGTATACTGTTGTATGTTTCTGAAGACTCTTCCTCATGACACAGATTGCAAGTACATCAGCAGTTAGAGAAAAAGTCTTTGTATCTTATGATTTGTTGTCAGAGAGAATGTTTCTATACATTGTTGTGCCTGCTTTGTACACAAAATCAGCATTTTATTTGTAACCTTCTTTTGGAAGCCTCCACTTCTGAAATTTTATCTCATGAACACACCATACAGAGATACTCTTTTCAGCAATTTACGCTTCAGCACCAAACATCTGGCGATGCCAAACACTTTCTTGTAACTCCCGAGTCCCACTAGAGCGACAAACAGAAACAAACGACAGCGGCAAGCCTCAAACCAGAGTTTTTCGCGACTTGACAGGCTTAGTAGAGTGAAGGAGGCTACGCTCAAACACAAGCTTCATGCACGTGAGGGTATCTTTGGCAGGCTTGCAATCACTCATGCTTACTTCATTAACACTAAACGACTAAACGCCTGCAAAAGGTATCATCGCGAGCATGCTGCGTGTGTTTGAGGCCCGTCGCTGTCATTTGTTCCTGTTTGTCGCTCTAGTGGGACTCGGGCATAACGATAACGCTCAGAGACATTCCATTAAAAACATAGTCACTTCCGCACCAGGGCATGTAATGGTCGCTTCCCTATGCGGGGCGCAACTTCGTCTGTTTTTTGCACAGAGGTTGTGACAATGTCAGAATGCCGAGCAATCATTTGTTTACTTAAAAAAAAAGGAATGGTGGGTAGACCTTGAGGCATCTAGCATTGAGGTCTACCCACTGTCGTTTCAATCAAAGCCAATCAGAGCTGGATGTCGTTCTGATGTTACCGCAACTCCTACGCAAGAAGCAGACGACTTGCTCTCCACATTGCTTTTGTTAGTGTCCAGGGTTGATGACCTCTGTGGTGTTTGCATCTTCTCCTCTGTGAGTTGAAGAAAAAATGGTAAATCTTTGCTTTTGTTTGTTTTTTTCCCCTCACAGAGGTCGAACTCGGAGCACAATGCGTCGTCGAGATGACCGAGGGACAGACGGTCCTCTACAACTCCGGCAAAGGAGAAGGGTAAGACTAGAGCCCCTAAGTGAGCTACGTCTCAGAGTAGCGACACGTCGGTCATCCAAAGCTTTACACGAAATCGCAGGAATAACTTTTCCGTCTTTCAGAAATGTTTAAAACAGTTCGCGACGGAGCGGAGCGACATCGCTTGAACTTTCCGACACCGTGTCTGAAACTCGGGAAGACATTTTTCAGTCGTAACGATCGCCAGTTGCGTTCGCTCTGCCCCAAGCACCAAGATGGTGCCGCTTGCAGGAAAACCGGGGAACGGACGGCCTGCACTCAAGATGGACGTCGATGGCTGAAATACCATTCTCGCAGTCTGGACGCATCACCGTCCAACATGTTTACCGTGTCTTCATTGCGTCCGTCATTTCTTTACATGGCGACGTTGCAGTTGTGCACTGTCGAAAATAGCTGCGACGTTCGTGGTGGTTGGAGACAGAGATGTTAGATGGAAACCACACATGCTCTTTCGCCGTCACTTTTACTGATCATCACGAGGATTGAAACGATCTGTCCCTTTCCCTCGGAGGCCTCTGTGACATAATTTGTTGCCTTTAATGGGATGCTGCAATGCATCGTTACAGGGTCTAAACACAACAGTTGGAGAAACATTCCAGGCAGCGTGTTATTACATGCGGTCACTAAACATTCCCTGTGTACAATCGATTCTTGTCACTGTGATGCCATCGCTTCCTTCTCTGCTGAGATCGGTCACAGTGTAAACGTTCTGCATCTGAATGAGAGCCAGGGGTAGCGCACGTTTAATTAGAAGGCAGCAGTGTTGAATTAATGGGGGTCATACTAACGAGAGCTTATCGTACCACATTTTGCAACATCTTTTGAGGACAATAACGGAGCCTGCCACTTTGTTCGCTAGCCATCTGAACCAGTCAAGTCGAACCAGCTGACGATAGGCAATATAGTACACTGCCTTCCTCATAAATGAAACATTTGCTCACTTAGTTAGTCTTTTCTTTTCATCTGGAAACATGTTAATTTTAGTGTCCACTTCGCCGATTACGTTGCCATTTTTCTATCATTTGACAATACCGAGATGTGCAAAATTGTTGCTACAGGGTTGCATACAGAATTGCACCATCTCACTTTTTGCTTCATTGGCCGACATACAGTAAACTATTCGAGTTTCGATTACCTTGTGAATATCATGGGACTCCACTGCAAGGTATGCGACCCAAACCCTGTCTGTTTGTATTCTCTGAAAGCTGTTTTTGCTATTAGAATCCATGAGACCAGGGAGACCAGAGATTAATGCACCAGTTGATAAAAAAACATGAGAGACAGTCTCTTCTCTAATTTCTTTCCAAATATTGTTCAGATATTCAAAGTTTTTAGTTGCCTATCTTGACTTTTTATTAATATTGCTGCTGTACTCTTGCAGCATGCAGGATGTAGGACAGTGCAAAAATACTCAAGAAAATTCGTGGGCAGACATGATTATCATAAGAATTGGGAGTAACAAACGAATTGACAAATACTCTGATTTTAGAAGGCATTGGGAGCAAAGGAGGGAGGGGAGGGTGTCCTAATGAGGTGCCTATCTTTCAGAACAGGATTAGAAGTATAAATATTTATGGGAATTTCCTTAAATAAGGGATAGAAGCAATTTATGTTTCTTTTGCTGATGGTAAAGGTATGTGCCTTGTTTCACATTTCTACTCTTTTTTCCATGTTGGATGCTGCACGCTGCTGTGCTGTTCCCTAGGCGAAAACATCCAAAGGTGAGCGTCATTCATATGTTTTGCTTCTTGTTTTACTCTAATTAATTGTCTCTTTAAATTTAGGAGGCTGCTCATTAATACCTCAAGTTCACTGAGTACACTTTGAAAAAGTGTGGTTGCATTTTCCAGTACTGGATTATAGCATACCCAAGCCTCCCAAGGGGTGTGCTTGTGTATTCTTTTTTCCTTCAATTTTTACTCTGCAACATCGACCAAAAAGTGTAGGTGCCTATGCATAGTGTGCAAGCCCTAGCTTTTGCCTAAAATATATATGAGCGGTCAGTACTCTCTGTTAAAAGGTTAAAGTGCATAGCTATTTCTGTAAGACATTATACATGATTGCCCCCTGGTTATCATAGAAAAACATGATGATTGTTTAAGAGGTAATGTTGCACTCTGCAATTTCAGCAGGGAAATGTGATCGCTGAGCTACACCTTTGAGAAGATACTTGAGCTCACTAGATTGAGACTCATTTGTAAGGGGAGATTAGGTTTCAACTCTTAGGGAATATTTGATGGTTTGAACATGCTGCGTATTTTGTGAGAGTTATGCTGTCAAACATATTTGCCATTCATATTGTAGACCAAGCCACTCACATTTGGCTTGAAGTCGCGCCTCTGCTCACAGTATCAGTGATCGCAATAACATTTCCCTGGGAAACTTGGCCCCTAAATTAGCAGGCATTTTACGATACACACTTATTGATGGAGCAGCCACTGTGCAGCCGAGGGCCAGGCCTAGGGGTGGGCGATCTGAGCGATCGCTCAGGGCGCCGTCAAAAGGGGGACGTTGCCGCGTCTCCCTTTTGAATTCTTTTAGCTTTTTGATTTATTTGAACACGGCTATCCGACACTTTGTTTTTGGAGTGCAGTTCTCGTCTGATAAAACGCTCCTATTGGGCTTTCTATGCTCGCATGTTTACTAGCATGATGTCGTACTTAGCAGATAAGCGGCGTATAAAAAAAGGGTGGGGGGGGGAGGGGTGCCACGGCCAGAGTCTGCCCAGGGTGCTTGCTGGTGTAAAGCCGGCGGTGCAGCCAATATGCATTATGATTACGAATGACAAAAGGCGCTTTTGGGCACATGAGTGTGGAAATGTACTATATTGTGACCTTCCTATTTACAAGACCTTGTTGACAGTAGTAGGTAGATTCCCTGATAATCACCTTCCCAAGAGAGGTTAGGAATGGGTCTGCTTCAGTACAAATGCCGGATGTTCCGAGTTCTCGCTCAAACAGGCGTCTCACCCTTATTTTTTTGTTTACAGACATTTGCCTTCGACCATTGCTTCTGGTCCTTCGACGAAGGGGACCCGCACTTTGCCGACCAGGAGACGGTATACACGGCTCTGGGAACAGACATCCTGGACAATGCTTTCCAGGGATACAACGCCTGCATTTTTGCCTACGGACAGACCGGTGAGCACTTTTCATCCTATCTCACTTTTTTCCCTTTTTTTTTTTCCCTGAGATTTGATCTCGGGATTGCCTTCTCTGGTATTATTGGCATTTAAGGCTTGTTCACACATCTTGTCGGCGGTTGTTTGTCTCCTTTTTTCCGTCCCATCTGTTTCACTGTATATTTTAAATAATCACACATCTGCGATTGAGTGTAATCGAGATCAAATCTATGCACCATCTATGAGAAATAACCGATTATAACTAGGCTTTCGGAGTTTATTTCTCGTGAAATTCGGAGTGTGTTTTTCGGAGTCTACTTTTCGCTGAAAATTCGGGGTTTCTTGGAGTTTATTTTTGTTAGATTCCCAATTCTCGGAAATTTTGAGTTAATTTACTGTGTTCCCAAGTTTTAAAAATTTAAGAGCAAAATAAATAGCTAAAATACCCTAGCTTTGCTGTCTTGTAGGAACATTTGTCGAGCTAAAAGGAAAACTCCTTTTGTCAGTAGTTCGAGATTTCAAAGTAAACTGAAGTGGCATCTCCTCAGTACCACTGACACTGTGCTCCTAAGAAGTTTATTTGTAAAGCACCATCTTTCTTTCTTTTTATTTTGTCGTTGTGACCTAGAAATTCTGAGTTTTCCAGAGAAATCCGAATTGACGTAAAATTTATCAGCAAGTGATTTTCTGATTTTTTAAAATTTCTTTGGAATCTGAACTCAGAATTATTTCAAGCACAGGGTGCGAGAAATATGCATGAAATATATGAAGAACTTGTTGTTTGAACTTATTTCCACCTAATTATGGTGAAAAAATTTACATTCCAAATAAAACATCCATGTTGTCTGGAAAACACACTGCAAAATAATCTTAAGTTTTTTTTTTTTCTTTAATTTTTTTTTCTTTTTTAGTTGGGTCTTGCTTGTGTGACTTTTATTCGTGGTAGCGTTTTGCTACCGATTTGGCTGAGTCAGGGGAGCGACAAGTGCTTGTAAACAACGGTTTGCAATAAATTAGTTAGCCCTGCATTATAGCTTGTGCGCGTGCCGGTCATTATGTCTTTTTTTTTTCTTAGCTCGAGTTTTAAGGAAAGGATTCACCAGCTTGCCCGGTAGATCATTTCCATGCTTCACCCGGCCATGCATTGCAATCCTTTTCATCTTTGGCACATTTCTGAGATAACCTCTTGTAGTGCACAAGAAAAACATAGGACAATGCGATACATAGAACATGGGGCAAGTTTCCGACATTAGGTTGCATGATAATCTCTTCCCAGAAGCGTATGCCGTGTGTGAAGTTTCAGTGGGTCGTTTTATACCGGTGAACCAGATTGCGTGCAGCATTGTGTAAGTTCCAACCGTGGACATGTAACATTTGCTGCATGTCTGTACGCATGAGCGGTCATGCGGAGCGGGAGTCGCCGCCCGTCAAGGCTTCACTCTCACACAATGGACAATGTTTACCTCACCTTCGCTCATCAGAGCTCTTGAATATCGAACCTCAACACAGTCTTCATAATCTTTTAGTTCAAAACTAAAGCAAAAAAATTTTAGAACGCAGAATTCTTTTTTTTTTTTTTTGTGTGCTTTAAGGGGACGACTGCTCTCTGTCGGTAGTTGCATGGTACCTGAATGTTCCCGAAACCAAATCTGTTCTTAGGCTATTTTTGAAAATGATGCAAACTGTTTGGAGCTTTCATTGGTTGCATTAAGTGTGGTGCACAATTTTCGGTGTTATGTCAGGGTGAAGTTTGGAAATGTTTTTGCGTATTTATTTCAATCGGGAAGATTATCTCTTTTTATTGATGCTGTAAAGTGTGGTTACTCAATTAAATATTTGATTCATGTATAAGAGGTTATTTGTTGCACTAGGAGTCCAGCCTCCATTTGATGTACCGTTAGCACAGGTCACATTAATAAAAGCTAAATTGATACACATTCTCATGGCAAAAGTCCCAAACGTTTGTAAAGCTCAAGCCCAGTTGTTACCTAACCAAAAAGGAAGCTTTTTTTTAGTTAAAGTTGAAAGTGTCTTGACCTAGCTGGCACCATCAAGTTTCAACAGCATGCACCGACGCAGAAACCAAACTAAAGATTGTGCAACATCACGTTAGCAGGAATGCACTGGCCATAGCCAGCACTTTCATAGACAAGCATGCCGACCTGCCCACTCAAGAGCGAGAGTATAAAGAAATGGCACACAAAGGCACACTGGTTGTTTGGTGATGTCATATGTTGCGACCACCAGGGTCCGGCAAGAGCTTCACCATGATGGGCACGGTGGACAACAAGGGGGTGATCCCACGGCTGTGTGACTCACTCTTCGAGCGCATCGCTTGCGCGGCAGACCCCTGCATGAGCTACAAGGTGGAAGTGTCCTACATGGAGATATACAACGAACGCGTCCACGACCTCCTCGATCCCCGAGGGTAAGTGCTATTTTGTTCCTATGGCGGAACTGTTACAGCGACTTCCTAGCTGCATTCGCGGTAGCATCATTGCGCTAGGTGGATAAATCTGTCTGGTCATTAAATCACGTTTCCGCCTGCAACCAGAATAGTTTGTCCCTTGGCCGAGAGATGGCGGGCGTACCTGCGCGCCCGATAGTGTTGGTGCCTGCCTCAAGTTGGAGCAAAACATCCCGCTTTTACGGTTATACCTACAGCTATAGCTGAAGGGTAACCATCTCTATTTAGTCTTAGGCAAGGACATTTAGTTGTGTGTATGTTCCCCTTCCCACATACTTAGTGACCACGAGGCTGTGTTGTGTGTGATCGATTAAATGAGGAGTGGATGTGCATAAAAGTGGGTGTTACTTTGTGCAGTAACAGTCGTCACTTACACTTCTTCGCATACGATTACAAAAATTTCTGATTTCATTTCTTTCTCGCCTATTTTTTTAAAGATATGGTCGCTAGTCCCATCCATGTTGAATTTAGCTTTTTTTTCTTCTTCGAGGCCATTGCACTTGCTTTGTTTAAATAATAGTGGTGTTCGATTTTATTTTATTCAACACTATTTTACATCCTGTATATAATAAAACGATCATTCTTTTTATATTTTGTTTCGGGGTGGAGGGGCTGCTACCTAGCAATGGTGTATTCTGGGGCTACAAACGTAAAGTCAAGACCCCGATTAAGTGCTCTGGAAAAGCTAAGAGCATTTGCTAATAACTGCTAACGGCATGTAGCGAACGGTAATTTTTTACTGTTAGCAAGCTTCTCTCCCCATTATCTGTTGCGTAGCTTCCGAAATTAACAACGCAGGTCTTGTGTATATTTGCAGTGGCAAACAACACCTGAAGGTTCGAGAGCACAACATCCTCGGTCCATATGTGGATGGTCTCTCGACACTGGCCGTCTCTTCGTATGAGGCAAGTCTGGTTACTTTATAGTTTATACAAATGCTGAATTTAACTTCCGAAGGAATAAGAAGACATAAAGGACGAAGATGAGACGGGATGAATTAGTCTGTCTTTGTCCTTGATGTTGCTTTCCTTTTATTCGTGTAACTTACCAGGGCACTCGAATTCCTCGAGTAACTTCTGAAACATTTAATGGATGATCATGGTAGCAAACAACAGCATTTGGTTTTGTCTACCGATAAATTGGGAACACCTTGCTGCTCTCTAAAGAAACAGCATCATAGCAAAACAATAGTATTGGATCGTCTGCTTCATTTGCAGGGGTTGTGTTGACATCAGAACGTCGTGCTCTGACTGGCTCTGATTAAAGGGTAGTGGGTAGACCTCAAAGCAAGCTGCTTTGAGGTCTACCCACTATCCTTCAATCAGAGCCAATCAGAGATTGGAATTCTGATGTCACCACAACCCGTGCAAAAGAAGCAGACGAATTTGCGCTCCGCATTAGATGTTGATTGAGATTGATGATTGGCACGCTCTGAGTCGTAAGTTCTCACGCTATGCTGCTAGGGATCTGAGGGAGTACCCCTTGGCCTCCTGAAAACACCCTACTTATTCTCTTAGCCATCCCTACTACTATATATATTTGTATATCATATTTGTACGATTGTAAATTGACTCTTTTGTGGGTCAGCCCTCCACAGCTAGGGTTTTTCAATGTAAAAAATGGCGACCTACGGTATATCCCTCGAAATATCATTGCGTAGCGTTTGCTATGATTGAAGCAAAGTTTAGGTACAGCCGAGCCATGTGTTAATCCGCGACTATCAGTTAAATGCCCCTAGCTTCCTCCTTGGTCGGTGTGACAAAGTTTGAACGTTTTTAAACTGTGTACACAGTTAAAAACATTATTTTATAAAAATGTGGAGATGAAAGAGGAAAGAGATCTTTGGATCTCACTCATCTGGAGATCGAAAAGTTTTGAAAACTTTTAATACCAACATGATAGGAATGCTTTCCTGTGGGCAGGCAGAGTTGGCATGCTATCCTTTTTGAGCTTAAGACAAACTTAAGCTTCTCTAGCTTAAGTTTGTCTAGTTGATGCTACCTTGGATTGACATGTTGGTGTCTTGATCCGCAGGAGATCAACAACCTCATGACGGAGGGCAACAAGTCCCGTACCGTGGCGGCCACCAACATGAACAGCGAATCGAGTCGCTCGCACGCCGTCTTCAACATCACCTTGACCTGCTCAATTACCGACAAGCAGTCGGGGGTCAGTTCTCTGCTTTTTTTTACTTTGTTCAGCACCTTTTTGCTGTTATGCTATCATTTCCTCAACTTGTTTTTACATATTATGTTTTGGTCACTGAGTGGTATCATTGGTTAGCTCAGTTACAAGAACAGGGTTAATGTGCTAGATTAGGTGTAAGATTGAGACATTGTCTGTTCCCCTTCTTTTCCGTCTCTCTTACTGTTTTTACTCTTTTCCACCCCAGGGTTTGCCATCATGTTCATCATATGGCAGTACGCCTCCAATTTAAGCATTTTTTTGTTGAGGGTGTAAGAACTCATTTATTGAAGCAGTTTTACTTCTTTGTCATGTTGGTTTGTGAGTCTGGCTGGAATTGGAGCCGGTATGCTGATCCAACTTTTACACTTTCCGTGCTTTCTCATGAATGTTTTCTTGGCGTTTATTTATTTTTTTTTATACAAAGTCATCCTTTCTGTTATGAAACTTTGCTTGAAGCTGCTGAGAAACAGACAGCACCCTATTTTTGCTGCGTAATTGCTTTTAGTATCTTAGTTTCATACCTTTGTTTCTAAGGTCTGTACATCTCTGTTGAAGGCTAACTTTGTTTTCATAAAGTATACCATGAAAAATCTGATTTAAAATAGGCAGTTAACACGATTATTAAATGAAACATTCATTTTGCCTCTAGGTGTTGCTTGTTGCTCTCACTATTGATTCCTAACTATCTGATGTGATCATTCAGGAGTTCTTCTCCGCGTGGTGCTCTTGGAATGGTGATGGGGCAAACGAGTGACACTTGTGATTAGTAGCCAAGCGGTAAAAGGGACACTCAAGTACTTTTTGTAGAAGCCTGTTTTTGATGGTGTATTGCCTGTTGGGCTTTATATTCAGTAGAAATGACCAGTTCTGGAACTTACAGCAGTAGAAATACACGTGCCGTATTTTCTCTTGGGGTGCCCATCCTCAGGTCCTACCACCTCCATAAAATTTGACCAATGAAAATAGTTAATTGCGTGGAGACTCTGAATGTTACTATTATTGCTCTTTTTGGGTGCATTGTGCACTTTATTTTGACAAAAACATCAAATCTGTAGGCGTAGGAGATGTAATACAGCAATTATTAACATTTTGGACAAAACTCCGAGACTGGGGGGGGAAAAAGGACAACACAACACTAAGACTTGACGCTTTGTGTTGTGTTGTCCTTTTTACCCCCAGTCTCTGAGTTTTGTCCAAAATGTTAAACCTTCACCAGCTTGTTTGCACCCTAACTTTTTGTCAGCAAATATTGTCTGAAAATGCCGTCCGACAGCACCCTTTCACGTCTGCTCCAAGGCGCAGAAAAAGATGCGTGCCACGATCTGCGATTGGATGTTTAACGATCTCGGAATCCCCTTGAGTGCCCCTTTAAGCATCTCCTTTTTCTACTAATGATTACGCAGCAGTTGAAAACAACCTCGCATCCCTCTTTCTGATGCGTGCCGCATACTGGCTTTCAGGTGACTGGCGAGAAGGTGTCCAAAATGAGCCTGGTGGACTTGGCGGGCAGCGAGAGGGCCGTCAAAACGGGGGCCATCGGGGAACGCCTCAAGGAAGGCTCCAACATCAATAAGTGAGCGTCTGTCATAACCTAACGTGCCCCTGTGCTTGAAAGTAGAAATTTGTCCATTGATTTTTGAAGCAATATTTAGTTTCCGCTAAGTTCCGACTCTAGTAGCCAACTGGACGAGAACAGCGTCTCTTTCGGACGCCCGGTTTCCGGCACATGCTCGCTGCTTTCTGCCGTACTTTGGCTGCACGTGCATGCCCGAAACTCGTGAGATGTTGAAGCGTCATCAAAGGTAGGAAGCTTGCACTGGAAGCGGGACAACCGAAACTCCTCTCCTGCCTTTCTCCTCGTGTCGGCGACTGCACTAGTAGGGTCAGGAGGAGTCGCGGTACCGATTGTTGTGGGTGAGGGCTGAGAATTAGGAACCTGCATAGGAATGGAAAGCTTTCATTCGTGCTAGGGCACAACGTCTTGCCAAAGAAACGGCTTGATGTTCATAATTGCTCATGCTGGCGTTTGAACTGTTTAGCCGTACGTAACAATGTAGGCTTTCTTTTTAAGACACGCAGGCAAGTTTTTGTAAAGTTGTGCACCACCTGTTGGATCAGTGGCCGGTCAGTAGGAGCGTGTCCAGAACGGATGTCGCGACAGCCATCGCTGCCAGTTGTAAGTGAGTCTGGGGTCTCACGCCTGGCCTATTGAACAATGTTTGCTGCCTAGAATGATGAGTAATGTTTGTTACGGCCTGGAGCTGAGCTGGTTGGTTTGACATGCTTCCTCTACGTTCATATTCAAGGAAGCATGATGACTTCTTTGTCGTCTTCATCTATATCATCTTAATGATCTTCAACTTCATCTTCATCAAGAATATCCAGTGCTAGAAGCCGGTTCGGAAGCTGATTAAGATTGTGCACAAAACACCAAGCGTGCTGCAAACCAGACAAGATGACGAACATCACGGGGCAGAGAATGGATCAGAAAATATTCTGTGTCACGTCTGTGTGGTGTGCTAAACAGCTTCGCTTGTCATCCACCTGCACAGAGTGGAATGGCTCATGATTTTGCAGGTCCCTCACAACGCTAGGGCTGGTCATCTCCAAGCTGGCCGACCAATCCTCGGGCAAGGCCAAGGACGCCTTCGTCCCTTATCGGGACTCCGTGCTCACCTGGCTTCTGAGGGTAACCTTACCTTCTTCTCTACCCATTACTTCTTCTGTCTCAGAAATGAGGTAGCCTCGGCAGCAAGTAAGAGACTTCTAATGTTTTTTCCCCGCCTTAATTGGGAGACATGGCCTAGGAATCTTTTTGACACAGAATGTGCCTTAGGGCTGGCTTCCAAGCTGGAGCGCCAGAAAATGTTGTAACGAAGAATACGGTAATGCAGCCAGTTGTCTTCACAAAAAACTGCGTTTCCCTGGTGGGAAAATCTAACCATTTGTTGGGTTTTAAGCGGATAACTGGTTGAAAAGGTGTGTCCCTCAAAGTACAGTGTAGACCGCATATAACGTATGTCGCGGGAGTCGCGAAAATCTGCACTATAAGCGGTACCGCGTTATAACCAAAACATCAATTTTTCAGGCCAAAATACATGCCATGAGACAACTTAACCATTGTAAAAGAATTTATTTATGTTAGATGAAAAATAAAGCTTAGTTTGAGGAAAGTCTTTATTTCACCAAACTAGTACACTTCTCTCTCAAGTGTGTTACACATTTTGAAAGAAACGAGTGACTTTTGCCTGGCGCAGCCTTTTAACGGCGTCGCGGGTTGCGGACGGACGTTGCGAGCGTTCAGGATTGCTAACCCTAATCACTTTTCTCCGGCGATGAAAACGCGTGAAAATTTGCATCTTCAACCTTCCCTTGAAGGTTGAAGATGCATACCTTCAACTTGAGTACGAGCATGAAATGCTCCAAATAAGAAATCCGGGCGATCTTCGAAAACACAAATGCTTAGAAAGCACCACTGTAGTCGAAGTAAACAAACACGACGACACGGGCGTTTCTGCCATCTTGAGAGTGCCGCCACAACATCGCCGCACGAGTAGGTGGATCTTCCCTTCTAGTATGTGCTGGGTTATCATAGTGACACACGACGAAAATTCACAGTCACGGATAGCGCTTTTACGCGGAATGATGAGCTTCTGCCACGCTACGATGGCTAGAACCACCGCAACCACGCCGTCTACGTCGACGATCATGACCGACGCCATGTTTGCGGATAGAAGCAGCCGGCCCGCGACCGGCATGCAACGCGCGCGAACAGTTCTCCTTGACTTGCGATTGGTCTGTCGTTGCGGTTGTTTGTTTCCAACGCAGCGGAGGGACGCACGCACGTGAACGACACGTGTGTGCGTCCCTTCGTCGCTATGGCAACTGAAGCCTCTCTCTTCGCTTCTCCTCGTTTCTTCGAGCAACCTCCTCGCCCCGCGAATGCTGCTTGCGGCTCGCGCTGTTATCTAGTGTCGCACAGGGAAGCGTGCTCGCTGCTCCGGTCAGTCGGCGCACTGTTCCAAAAACCGCACTATAACCGGTATTTCCCTTCGCGCGCCTGCATTTTAAGCGGTATGTAAATACATGGAGCTTTATGGGAGGCGAACCGGTGGTTTAAAAAAGCCGCATTATACCCGGTCCTGCACTATAAGCGGTTACGTTGTAAGTGGTCTATACTGTAATACGTGTCCGGGCACACCAGCTGAGATTGTCTTTTTTTGAGAACGAGCAGTCTCGGTCTTCGATGACAGCCGTGTTCATGACACTTTTTCGCTTCGTCGAAGGACAACCTCGGCGGCAACAGCCGCACGGTCATGGTGGCGGCCATCAGCCCCGCTGCAGACAACTACGAGGAGACGCTGTCAACACTGCGCTACGCAGACCGTGCCAAGCGCATCATCAACCACGCTGTGGTCAACGAAGACCCCAACGCACGCATCATCCGGGAGCTTCGTGAAGAGGTGGAAATGCTGCGTGGGCAGCTCAAGCATGCCACGGTACGAGTCCTGTTTTCATTTCCCTCTTAGCCGAAAAGAGCTGTGTCTCTTTCCCGTGTCATGCTCTCTTCCTGGGAGCTTGTGGTTTCGTCGCATGGCTTCCCTGGTTATTATTTTCTTCTCTCGATCTAACAGATTTTAAAATTGTGCGTTAAAAGTTGGCTGATGGAAAGGTGTTTGTGTGCCGTGCATTTTCTGGCATTCATTGTAGTTATGCTCATCGTCTTGACTGTAAGTATAAAAAAAATATATTTTTGTTGCCTAATTTTGTTATGAATTCTTAATCATGTGCAAATAAGATTTTGAGTTCAAAACATATTCTAAGCAAACAATGATATGGACGAATATTTTCTAACCAAATATTGAATAGTTTCTCTAAGCCTTTCACTACTGCAACATGCTTAAAGGGCAACTCCACTGAACTTGCAAGGGATGTTACCAAGCTTCCATTTGTCAATTTCTAAGCTAAGTGTATTTTGTTCTACTAGGGTAACTATATTTATTGACTGTTGTTCCCAAAAGTCCATTCCCTACATTGGGATGGCAAGAAAGAACACATTTGACATAAAATTAAACCTATAGAGATGGCCAGGTGTACCAAATCAAGGGAATTTATAAATATTCTTGCTATATGCAAATATCTTTTGTTCAATCTCATACGATTGTCAGGGTATCATACATGATTTTGAAATTAATTTTAAATTTAATTTGTAAAGCTTTACTGCGATATAGGTATCAACATTCATGAAGCTTCCCTTTCTTTTTAAAATAAAACAGACACTTTTTTCGTTGATCACGTGGCCGTGATATTCATATTTTTCGAAGTGTTGACCGCTGCGGGTTTGCCCCATTGAGTGCGCTTTTTACCAAGCACCGGTGCACTGCAGAAAAGCCACACCTGCAGAAGCGAGCTTTGCAGGTGTTGCTTCCCTGCAGTTCACCAGTGCTCGGTAAGAAGCGCGCTCAACGGGGCTAACCTGTTGCGATCAACACTTCGAAAAATATGAATATCGCAGTTTATCTCGAAACGAATATCGAATTTCGTATTATTCAGAACTACTATATTAAAATTTCCATATTTGCACAATGCTATTATTCTGCATAAAAAAACTTAAAGCTACTCACTAGTACAACTAGTGAGTAGCTAAACTAGTACAACAGTTTCGTCTTTTGTTAAAGTAAAAATGAAAAGTAAGATATGTTGTACCCAGGTGTGCGAGAAAAGCAACATTGTTGATTGACTATTGTAAGCAACTGTGTGTTTGCAGGCTTAACATTTCAGCAATTTGCGAAAGTATCGCTTTAGAGGAGCGAAATTTCGCAACTGTGGAATCATTGAATCTGGTCACTGATGACAACGGAAGGGCTACATACCCTTGCAATCAACATTCTTGTAATAGTTATTTACCTTAATTAATGGAAACTAAGTTACTACATCAGGGATTGGTGGCCAAGTGTGTTAGCGCACCGCAGCTCAGAGCTCGTGGAGCAAAAGTACGCTCTGCAAAACTTGGGGATCCTGGGTTCGAACCCTACCCCTGCCGGTTTCAATCTGGACGAGCATCATACCGGCATGCGGTCGTGTATCACTACTGCGTGGTGCACGTTAAAGACCCCAGGCTAGCGGTTGTACCGCACTGGCTAAATTGCTCACCTACAGCTAATGCACCTAAAGGTCCATTAAGGTTGACCAACATCTGGCTGTATAAACGCAATCATTATTATTATTAGCTACCAAAAAATTCATGTTGTCTTCAGCGTATGCCATATCAAGAATCACAATGTGCAGTCCAGTCGTTCGTATAAGCGCTTTGTTTGCTCGTGTCTACTAGGCTTGTTACAGGACTAGACTGACCGGAAATCTCGTCTGCTTTTTTTTACTCTTTGCAGACACCGGAGGGTCTCAGCGAGAGGTTGCGAGAGTCTGAGACTCTGATGGTAGAGATCTCGCAGACGTGGGAAGAGAAACTACGGAAGACGGAGAAGATTCATCAGGTATGTCTAGCTTATACACTATCGAACCATCAACCATCGGTCCTCTTTTGTTTTTCATTTAGTGGAAATCTTCACTGGAATTCTTTGCTTTGGTTAACTGTGTTAACCAAAGCAAAGCAAAGGGGTCTGTGTGGCACTGTTGAAAAAAACTCCCTTTCCAAAACCAGCAAAAGCTGGATTATATCTTGGCTGTGGATAATCTTAGTCGGTATTGGAGCTGTAACAAAAGATGCGCCACAGCCGACTAATAGAGCCTCGTAAGTAGCAAAATACTAAAGAAAAGACGCCTACAACCAACAGCCGCTCATGACTTTCCGGTTGCATCGCAGAAAAGTTCTAATGACAAGACAATGACACAGTCCCATGAGGAAGAGAAGGATCATCCAGTTGCCCACAGCCTGCTCCTGATTCATTGCCCCTTTAAGGGCAATTCACGCATGAAGCGTAGCGCCGAGATAATGCAGAGTCAGCGCTTCATTCATGCTGGCTCCGTGCCTAGCTAGCGTTGCATTCGGTGTGTGGTACACTGAAAAATGCAGGGTCACACACAGCAGAGCGTTGGCACAGTGTCGATATGGTGCAAAAGGCAATGTCTTGTTCATTGAACTCGTTTAGTGCTGCAGTGTATGTGTGAACAGCTCCGAAATGCGAATGATGGAGACGTCCTCTTTTGTTTGAGAAGCAAACCTCCTTCGGGAGGGAGTTAGGCCGTGGCGCCCGGGGTGGGTCCCCAATTGGCGTGTTTACGCATCCTCACACGTGGTCTTCTGTCTTCTACCTTGCAGGAGCGGCAGCAGGCTTTGGAGAAGATGGGCATCTCGGTGCAGGCTTCGGGCATCAAGGTGGAGAATGACAAGTACTACATGGTCAACCTCAACGCCGACCCCTCACTCAACGAACTTCTCGTCTACTACATGAAGGTGTGCTCCTCACCCACGAGCAACCTCTCCGTGGGGCAGGGAGTTGGCTTTTGGGACCGGGAAAATTGTGAAATTTCAGCTTGCGGTAGCATTTCTTAAGGTGCCTTAAAAGCGGCTTTTAACTGTCGTAAACAACTTTATTTTTCCGGGCTCAATATTCTGAAACTGTGTAGAATGTGGGTTTCGGGAGTTATTTTGCGGGCACAAAACTTGCATATTTTTATTTTTAGGTAGTGCCCGTAAATGCTGTCCATACGATCAAAAATCTATGTTTCCCACCGTATAGGGGTTTTGGCTAAAATTAGAGCTAAAATTAGCAGTGTAAAATTAAAATTTTACACTGTTAATGTGAGTAGACAAATGGAATCAAGAGATCGCTATTTTTCAGTCTCCTTGGAGAAATTTGGTGTTGTAGCCTAATTTTGAAGGCATGTTCAGAGTGCAGCCCTTAGGTAACGTTGGGAATTTACTCCAAAACGAAAAAAACAACCACCACTTGATTTTGCATTTTAAATTTAAATACCAGCCACCCCGTTGAAGTGATGTCTCTTGAACATGACGAAAATACAGTGCCCAAGAACGAAGACTAAGAAAAGGCACGCGCAAGACACGACAGCCACTCTTGCAGGCTCAATTGACGTCTTCAAGTGGGCAACTCTTTGTGCTGCCCTCTTAGGCTTAAAGAATGTGTTGAAGACCCCTTGGGGACCCGCCAAAGGGTTGGGGGACCCCATGCCAGTGGGGAAAGGGAAATGGGCGGGGGGTTATAAAAGAAGGTAATTGCAATGAAACAAACAAGGGCATTCTTTACTGTTATAAACACAAGGAGATGTAAGCAGGGGCGGATGCAGGAATTTCCTGAGGGGGTTTAGGTGTTGGTCAGCGTACCATATGTTTAGGAACCCCCTCCCCCTCTCCCTCGTTTCACGCCCTAAATTTTATGCATGCAGAAATCAAGGGGGGGGTCAGGACATCCGGACCCCCCCTCTAAATCCGCCCCTCGATGTAAGAAGCATCAAGTAAAAGGATGAATGAATGGATAAATTGTAACACCTGTACTCCTTATAATGGGCAGTAGATTGCACCACCTAGCCAAAAAAAAAAACACTTCTCTTTTTTTTCATTTTTTTTTTTCAGGAAAAGTGGGTTGGAGTTGAGGCTTTGCGGACCCCAAAAATGGCTTTGCAGACCTCATTGGGTCCGCGAAACCCCCGTTTGAGAACTACTGGGCTAGACAAAAAGAAGGAAGGTGTTGTGGGGCTGTTATCATAGTTTACGACAGTTGGAAATGCCGCATCAATATCAGATAAGGGAGGCCCGAAAGCAGCCGTGCAAAAGGGATTGCAGCAAAAACGGTTCAGGAGGTGCGTCCTCAGACTGGAATTCGAATGAGAAGCTTGATATGGGAAATCTAGGTCTGCCGAGGGTACCAGTTAATAGATTTCAGCTTGTTCCTTTATAGGGGACAGATGGCAAGGTCAGTAGTAAAAAGCTTTTATTATTATTACTGGTTTCCTCGTCACTGTAAAAACATTGCCTGCAAATGGCTAGCCGATTTTGAGGACCGGCAACTTTCAAAAGGAGCTGTTGGGTGAAGTACGAACCGCTCAGTAATGTTGGGTAAGGAGTATAAATGAAAAGGAATCGTCGCACGGAACCATTTTTTGACATCTTCTATTGTTTACGTATATGTCAAATGAAAATTGCTGTAATGTGAGGCATTTGGTAATATGTAATCCATCAAACAGTAATGCAGTCTTTTATGGTCTGGCAAAGCTCAAAACGTTTTATGGAAATTAGGTGCGTGAAATCTACAGTCGTGCTCATTGAAATGGAAAGTCAAATTATTCTTTCCAAATACGTAGTTATGCCTGTGGGCTCTACGTACATCTACATGGTGGTTCTCCATCAGACAGCAAACCAACACCACCAACATTTCAATCTATCGAGGGAGAAACAATCGGACAAGGAACATATAAGTGGAAACATTGGCTCCATCTTTTTCATAAACAAATAAAATAATATGTGCTCTTATCTAATATAGGTAGATTAATTGTTATAATTCGAGATTATCTTCTCGTACGAGATAGCTTAATTGTTATAATCCAAGATTATCTTCTCGTACACCAGGCCGCTGCGTCTACATCTTCACATTCTCACCGGAATCTTCCCGCAATATTTCGTGAACCCTTCCCCCTTTCAAAGCTTGCCCCCATAGGCAACTGCTTAGGCTGCGTAGGCCATTCGTGCAGTCTTTTTTGCTCAACGTAGGTAAGACCGCACCATAGTCTCTCGACCACGCTCTGCCATTGTTTCAAAGGGGTAACCTTGGCGCGTCGCAGGAGCGGACGCTTGTGGGCAGGCCCGACGCCCCGTACGAACAAGATGTGCAGCTGAGTGGCCTGGGCATCATGCCCGAGCACTGCATCATCACCATCGAGGACTCGGAACTCTACATCACGCCCCTCGAAGGAGCCAGGTCGGCTGCACCCTCTCCGACTTTATTTATCACTGTAATGTCGGTGCTATGTACTCGCTTCATGATTCGTTCTGCAGCGTCCTTATCGGCGAATGCCGCAATCTCGTTGGCTACGGATTGATAATTATATTATCGGGACTCGCCGCACCCTGCTGTCATTAGGCCAAGAGTGGGCCTACAGACATACCTGAAGTAGGCTCGGTCGTAGTGAAAGAAACATTCTGCGTGGCTATGATCTTACTCTTCCGCCTTTGGTGGTGCTGCGGGGCACAACGAAAGGCACGGTATGAGAGCGGAATCATTTGAAAACCCGCAGGACCTGCGTGAATGGGACCCCCATTGTGGAGAAAACCCAGCTTCACCACGGCGACCGTCTGCTCTGGGGGAACAACCACTTCTTCCGAATCAGCTGCCCCCGCACACTCACCGGTGGGTTTTGTCATTTTCGACCCAATGAGTTTGCTGGTGTACCTTGAGTACTCATATATTGATAAGCGGTTCGCTGAAAAGGACCTGCACGCCTACTTTTCTGCGGAGCGCACGGAAAAAAAAACTATCGTAATACATCAAAGGCACCTAGCGATTCATGTTGCAAAGATAATCTTTTTCACTCAAAAACACGTCTTTCGCCGGAACACTAAGTTTCGTGCGTGGTATTTCAGGGCACGTTACATTTTGGGTCGAAGTATTTTCTGGGTCTCATCATTTGCTGGGGATTTTACGTCGATCGGGATGGCTAGCTCTTCTACGTTCTGCGAGAAAGTGGGTCCGAGTAAATAGAAGACCCCATTACCCGATATTGAACATTTTTACTTGTTTCCACATTGAGAAAAAAAGCCATCCCTCTTGCATAGCTCGTACACAGCACAAAGCAGTTCTTACAAGATTTTGTTGTCGGAGGAAAAGCTTTGCTTTTTTTATTTGAAACATATACGCTCCAATAAAATGACATGTAACTAATCTTAACTGCGCGTAGAAGCATCCTGATTTGCCGCATAAAGAAAAAAATTAGCAGTGCCCGCGAGAAGCCAAGATTTTTTAACTACGATTCTTGAGGTGAAAGTGTGTATAGACATTGTCTTGAAAGGGAGTACAACTGATACAGAGGTGTTACTGTCATTTCAGCGGGAGCAGCTCTGGAGACCCCAACCCTGGACCGGCCCATCGACTACGAGTTTGCTCGTGAGGAGATCATGATGAAGGAGCTGGTCAACGACCCCATCCAGACGGCCGTGCACTCCCTCGAGAAGCAGCATGAGGAGGACAAGCACAGTGCGTGCACCTTTTCATAGCCAGTATCCCACACTTTGCTTTCCTATGCTGCACCTCTAGGTTCCGAGAACTCCACGATCGTTGTCTCAGTCTGCAGGTTTAAGTGTTGGGGTTCAACATTACCATTTTAATAAAAGTACATTAGCTTACTGCCATATTCTTGGGGTTAATGGGGACTCGAACAAGGAAAGATCGTCCGAGTTACTGCTAAGACTGAGGGCAGCTTCGTGGCGGAAGGAGCAGGAAAGTGTGAAACCATCCGTAGCAAAGCGTCTCGGGGACAAGCGGTGCCGAGGCACGACCAACTACAGCCCACCCGGGCACCGTGCAGACCCAATGGGAGGAACCGACGGGCCCCTAGAAGACCACACTGAATCAGAGTAAATGAACGACCGACTCGAGCAACGACAGTGCTGAGACAATTGGGAGTGCAATAGCCCCTTTTACCGCGTCTCTTGACGTCGCTCTTAAGCTTCGTTCGTGCCGCGCGCCGGAATGGCAGTGCCTATTTGTGGTAGTAGAATGCGTCGTAGATCCCTACACTTACATTCGAGGAGCTAAGGTAGCTAAGCAGGTCTTCTTGGGGCGGCAGTCTTTCCATCGCCACGTTTCTCGTCGTTTTCAGATGCCCTGGAGAAACAGCGGCAGATGTACGAGCGTCAGTTGCAGCTGCTTCGCAACCAGATGTCCCCGTCGACTCCTTACGCGCCGTACTCCCCCTTCGACCCCCTCGGGGCCAAGGCCTCCTCGGGGCTGCCCAGTCCCAGCGTGGCCTCGCGCATGGAACGCTGGGCCAAGGAGAGGTACGCACCTTCACGTCCAACCCGCCCGTCCGACGCCCCTTAGAGCGAGTTTCTGCTTCGTCCAAGGGTTTTCAGCGCTTCAGACAGGCAGGCTAGTTTTTGCGTGATGTGTTAGCGGCGTGGCTGCGGCTTTAGCCTGCTTTTCTTACCTGAAATTTTAGTTATCCAAATGGGTCAAGTAGGTGATGAAAATTTTCAGATAAACGGTCTATTAAAGTAAAGGGTGACCGCTGAACGATTTACAAATTTTTTGTTTTGTTTCATCACGAAAATTAACTATGCGTCGTCGGAAACCCGGTCTTAGTCCAAGTCGCATGCTAGCAGTCCAGGCGGGATGTTAAAGTTTGAGAGCTTGCTGTTGTTTAATTAGAAAGTCGCTAGTGATTCTTGGAAATTTTTCAATTAGGAAGTGGCGACCAACGAACCCCATGAACACATGGAGATGAGATGAACCTCGTTGAAAATTTTGTAAAGTCACTTATATCTTCCTAATAAGATGACGGCAGGGATGGACAAAATACATGCAAATATGTATTGAAATACAAATACAAAATACTTCGTCAAAAATGTATTTAATTACAAATCTAATTACATTTCCAAAAAAAGCATTTAAGTACAAGATACAAATACAACCAAATGTATTTGGTCTCCTCCAAATACTTTTCCAAATACATTCCTCAAAATTTGCGTCAGCGACTTCACGGCACCTGCAACGGGGTTCTGGGTATCTTATTTTAATTTTGCATTGCACACTCGGGAGTTAGTGTGCGAGGCTCTAGCAATGTAATAGAAATATAATCACAAAAAATGTAATCAGCTTGGACGTAATAGGCAAAAAAAGTACAGAGCTTCAAGCAGCTTGTTTTGTCGATTACATTTTGGTATAGACCAACAAAGAACCGAGACGACCAAGACGCGCAGCACTAGCTAGAGAATTTCTTATTGTTGCAATTCCTCACCAGTTACGAAAATCGGGATGACCCGCGCATTTAGAATGTTCCAGGCAAAAATATGGATGTAAATCAGGCTGGAAAGCATCACAAGTTGTCACAGGCACTTATTTAGCCAGTCTGCCTGTGAACGTCGATTTCGTCACCATTCTTGCCCTGGACTAGCACCGTAATCACAAAGTCACTAAGCGCTTGTGCTTGATTGAGAGACAATGCATTCGGTGCAGAACATAGTTTTCTTCCTGCTCTGGACACGTCTTAGGATGAGCGAAATGAGTTGTGACAATAAATTTCAGGGATGTATTTTCGCCCACAAAATTGTACTTAATTAAAATTGTATTTGAAATACCCACGTTTTAGTATTTAAATACACACATCAAATACATTACCCAATTTGTAATTAAATACAAATGCAAAATACACAAAGTATTTAAAATATGTATTTCAAATACTTGTATTTGAAATACTGCCCATCCCTGGATGACGGTTAGTAGGAAAACTTTGGCATCTGGTCCCCCACCGCTAGTGCTACATTTGGAAAGAGACTGAGCGTTTGGCGATGTGTAGCTCATTTTCGCGGCGATAGAGACACTGAGTTTTTTTTTCGAGGACGCATCGTATATCTTTGTGCCGGAGCCGGTCAGTTATAGGCTCAACTGCAGATCTTTCGTTTGTCCCCGTGTTACAGGGACGAGCTGTTCAGGAAGAGCCTGGCCAAGTTGCGGGAGGACATTGTGCGTGCCAACGCCCTGGTTCGGGAGGCCAACTTCCTCTCCGACGAGATGGGCAAGCAGACGGAGTTCAAGGTTACCCTGCAGATACCCGCCGCCAACCTGAGCCCCAACCGCAAGGTCGGCTATACCGTGCCATCTGGTTTCGTTTGACCCCGAGGAACGCTTTTTTCTCAACCATATCTTTTAAAATGCCCAAAACTGGGAGGAGGAACAGCAAACCATTGTAATGTGTTTCCAGGAAATGATAAACTCTCATAAGCTCGCTCGCACCAATTCATTTTCTGTGCGTCATAATTCGGAGAAATTTGCTGCTCGTGAGCACAGAAAATAAACGGATGATGATGATGACTATCATTATCATCACTGTATTATTGTGATTCTTTCCCTAGTCATGTTCGAGCAATGTGCATTGGAGTGACAGATCTTTCTTGAAACAGCGAAACAAAATGGAGTGTTTTGTTGGTTTTACTCTAAAAGTCCCTTGGTTAGTACAAGCTTCTTGCGAACAAGGCCTGCACGTCTACCGCAGAGCGGTAGACGTGCAGGCGGTAACAGCCAATCACTGCTGTTTACGGAAAGGGGCCGGCAAATGGCAATACACTGATAGCAATCAAATCCCGTCACCAATCGTATTTCCGAGCCAGAACCTTATCGGTGTGTCATGGTTCGCTTCTCTCTTTTTGTAAATGACAATGATAGGCCTTTCCGTGTCCTGTGGGAAAGCAGACGCACATGCACGGGAAGGTTCGCACTGTCGTGATCACACTATGGCAAGTTCTCAGAGTTTGAAGCAAAGTACCTACACTTGTGCGTTTTGTGTTTTGCATGCTGAAGATGAGTGCTCAAGTGTTATGGCATGTGGACTGTGCCGGGTACGGTTTTCAGGTGTTGGATGGATCATTTTGGGGGAGAGGTTTTGGCACCCCTTTCTGCCTATGCCACTGCTGTACCATCAACGACACTGTTATCAATTCCATGTTGATGGCTAACGCTGTTTTCTTGCATTGACGGCCACTCTTCTTTACACTCTACAGCGCAGCGCCTTTGTGAGTGAGCCGGCCATCCTGGTGAAGCGCAAGGGACGCGGTAGCCAGGTCTGGTCGATGGAGAAACTGGAGAACAAGGTGATCGACATGCGCGAGATGTACGAGGACTGCAAGGACAGGATGTTGCCACTCAAGGTGAATCGCTCTGCCCCCACTCACTGCAGTGCAGGATAACTTACTGCAGAGTCACCCCTGCTTGATTACACTCTGTCTAGTCACAGGATGGGCCAGTCGGGACAATGGGTCAGTAGTGCCATACTTTCAGGTTTTGACCGAAGCCAATTTAAATGCCGTATTTACCCCATAATGAACGTGCTCGCATAATGAACATACCCCCCACAACGATCATCAATATTTGGACTTCTTTATTTCCTCGCGTAATAAACGCACCTCCAATTTTCGTCTCCGCCAGTCTCCAACTGCGTCCAACTCGGCTGGCCACCGAGCCCAATGAGCCAATTTTCTTTTTCCGCCGAGCGGCCAGGCCGAGCCAAGCCAAGCATAGCAGTACATGTGCTCGTAATGGCTGAAGGTGTGTAGCTGCAGAAGTGATCAACGGTGAAACCGAGCGGCACACACGCCTAACAAAGCTGGGGTTGAGGAATTGCCCAGTCCCGGACATGCTTCGTCCATCGGATATTATGTTAATGTCAACAAACACGCCTTCGTCTGTGATCCGCTTTCGGACAGTGAAATCGTGAGAGTTGTTAGGCCTAAAAACGTTTGCTTCGCTCTCCGTGCTACGTGAGCTTCATAGTGCACTTTTCCTTCCGAAAAAGGCATGTTGGAGGTGCCCTAAAAAAGGTTAGCAATTTATAAAGCATGGTTACCATGGGGTGCCCACAACCACTCGTGGGTGCACCTCCATCAGTGGAGACGCGCACAGTACCCTGCCGTGTCATATTGCCACGTAAAATGACATTTGTGCAAAATATGTAAATGCAAAAATTTGACCCCGCATAATGAATGCACTCCCCAAATATGTGTCAATTTTTGGGAAAAAGAGTCCATTCATTATGCGAATAAATATGGTATGCGTGATTGTGCTAGCCACTGTTTTGGCAATGAGGTTAGTCCATATGTGTTTGACCCTCTTCCTGGGTTTGCTGCAGTGTCTTTATATAAAAAAATGAAGAATCCCACTGATTTTGTTTTAAATATTGCTCACAATGAAAATTTATTTTCATTTTTTTTTATGCATTTTTACACAGGTATTTCTTTTATTCGTGTTTTTAAAAATTGGAAACCTAACAAAATTGAACTCTGACGAATGCCGTCATTCCGAGAATTTTGAATTTGACAGAAGGAAACTAAAAAAAATCCCGAAAAGCCCGGGTCGCCACGATAGATAGCATTTCGTGCAATGGAGCACTTGCCAGAGTTCCCTGCTCGCTTGTCAGGTAGATCATTTGAGACCCAAGTGGCCCTCACAGCGACATTTTACGTTTTATGCCAGAAGTATGAATGTCCGAGCGAAAGTAAACGGAGCGAATGCTTTCCGCCGTGAAGACGTTCTCGTTCAACGGTAAATGTTTTTTCTCTGTCTTTCCAATCGACGGCATTGTAGCTATTGGCACCAATAAAAAAATAAAGCACATTTGAGACAGCTCTGCTGCGAATCATTGCATTCACAGTTCAGGCTGGACGTACGAATGCCTTAGCGAAAGTATCGGGACCGAGTGATTCCTGTCGTGAAGATGTTCTTCAACCGAATCCCCGTCGCCTCTTCCTCCCCGCAGCAAGAGGAAGAGGAGGGTGTGTCCCAGCCCGCGTCGGACCCCTTCTACGAGTCGCAGGAGAACCACAACCTGATTGGGGTGGCCAACGTGTTCCTGGAGGCGCTGTTCCACAACGTGCGCCTCAGCTACCACGTGCCCATCATCAGTCAACAAGGGGAGGTGAGAAACTCCCAGACCATTGGGCCGTTGTTTATAAATCTGCCAATGGCAACCTCGATGGAAGGAATGGTGCCAATTGGATTTATGTTAGATCGGAATTGGGCAGGGGTCTTCAAGGCTTTTCAATTTTGAGAAATACTTACCTGTAACAATATAAAAGTTGATAACCTGACTCAGTGGTTCTCAACCACTGATGTTTGGGGGACTCCATATAAATTGGCAGAAGTGAGGGGGGACCCCATCCACCAGGGGGGGGGGGGGGAGGGAGGTAGGTATCGGTTGATTACAATGAAAAAAAAAACTGGTAAATGAAGAAAACTAAATGTGTGCAAACCAAATTTGAAGCTCGGAAAAACGAAGAATCATTCCTACTCATTCTGCACATACCAAAGAACACCATGCATACGCCCATGAGCATCATACTAGCGTGCGGTCGTGTATCACTACTGCGTGAGCACGTTAAAGACTCCAGGCTAGCGGTTGTACTGCACTGGCGAAATTGCTCATCTACAGTGTAAACCAGTGTCGCCCCTACTGGCAGACCGACCTTACGCTGTATAAATCACTAAAACGTCCAATATGACTTTGACTTTTGTCATCTGCCCATTCCCAACTTTGTAAGATCTGAGAGTATATGCATAGTACATTTATATCTAAAATTGCTGACTGGGCAAGTGCCCATCCCCCATTTTTTTGCAATTATCTCAAAAGTTTGAGTAGTTGCTTGCCCGGTATTCATGTTATATGACTTGGTTTAGCCGGTATCAGTAAAAATATTTTAAATGTTTTATTGCTCGGTTTGTTTGATAGTCGAGGGGTTCCCTAAAGGGTCTGTGAGTCCCCATTTTAAAACCACTAAGCTAATTAATTAAACATAAAAAAAAAATGTTGTTAGTTGTGTAGACAGTGGTAGTTTGTCTGCTGCAGTATGGCAACATTGTTGGCCACTGTAGATGAGAAATTCAGCTAGTGCAGTGCACCTGCTAGCCTGGGGTCTTTAAGTGCTCCGCATAGTAATCATACACGACCGCACGCCGGTACGAGGCTCATCCAGATTGAAATGGGCAGGGGTAAGGATTGAACGGTTAAACATCACAAAAGAAGTTAACGCAAAAGGCTAAGGACAAACAGAAGGAGTACTTGAAAACAAGTAGAGGACGAGTAGAAAAGTGCTTGTCCTGTCCAGTCTTCTACTTGTCCTTTGTCTTTTGAACTAACTGCTCTTTTGGAACATTTATCTGTCCTGAATGGCAGCCGAGGGGTCCCTCCCAATCTTGACATTGATGCAATAAAGCGGTGCAGTGGCCTAAAGACCTTGTAAACAATGTTGTGGATACTACGGAGTGTTTGGCTCGTAGTTATGCATCAATGGGTGGCTCAGATGTTATAAGCGACCATTTCTCAAAAGTAGGGCACATATTCGATCTCGCAAATACTGCAAAACCTTCAGACTAGTTACATGCAATCACAATGTGGCACATTGTGGTACATGTTCCTCCTTTTACAGCGAAGCTGTAACAGGAGGAGCAGATACCACAATAGGACTGGGTCCAATGGTGTTCATTAGAACACCAAAAGACACACTGTACCAAGACCCCCGTGCCAACGAGGTCAGGTTAAAGGCTCACCCTATCGACACTGTACCGAAATTGCAGTCCAGATCGAGCGAAGGAAAACCTTCACTGCAAGTTCAATTTCTATTGCATCCGCGGGAGGTGCCCCTCCGTTCCCGAAGTCGGGAACGCGCGTCGACCTCCTTCCTCTGCGGGCGTCAGCCTCACCCAAATCAGCCAGGTTCCTGGATGAGTTGGGGGGACGAATAAAGGTCCCCCCAGGAGAAAAAGTGAAGAGGAGAGCCCCCCCCCCCCCCCCCCCATGCCAGGCAACTCTTCTACGCTTCACAAACAAATTGGAGCTCGCAGCAACCAGGCTGAGCGTTCCGAACCACGGCCACTATACCGCGTCGCGGAATGGCGACGAACGGTCCACACAAGTCAAACGCATGTGTGTCAACCAGCCTTGAATCACATACACAGATATTTGCGCATGTCTTTTAACTGGCTATTGATATATATATTAAAAGCTTAAGTGGTGTGCATATTGGTTTTGTACTGTAAATAGCACAGGTTGTTTCTCCAGTATAGCAGGAAATATTAATTCTGCGAGATTATGTCAAACCTTTGCCATGGCTTAAGGCTGGTTTACGCACTTGCTACTGCTCATGACCGTGTTCCTTAAAACCCCTTTAAGGGACACTGACACCCACCAAAATTTTTGTTTTTTCATTTTTTGCCAGGCGCTTCATTATGGTGTCGGAGGACTACCCAATTAATATTTTGCAACAGAGTAGCATATTTTTTTAATAAAGCCAAAAGACGCAACTGCTCGAAACCGAAACCGAAACCCGACGGAGGTCGGAGAAGCGGAGAGAAGAGAGTGAGCGGCGGAAGTCACGTGGCAACACCCGACCGTGCAATTTTTTTTTTTTCTCCTCTTTGTAGCAGACGACATGCGGCGTACGGAAACATTTCGCCGTGCGATTCGTTTGCAGTTATGTTTGTTCCGCTCGTTGTTCTGTACTCCAAGATGAGTTGTTTTGTACATTGAGGAGTTGGGAGATGAGTACTGAGTGCCCGTGGTGAATTTCCATGATCAGTTCCGAAAAGAATACACCCAAGATGTTGCGTGAAGAGCTGGCTCACATGTCCTGCGTCCGAAAAAAAGTGGCATTGTGCGACAGAATTTCTGAAAGATCAACGGGATCGGGACCAATGGCTGGCTGCAATTCCTGTAGAACATTTACGGGCACCTCGGAAAGCGGACGCTACCTGATTTATATGCTCCTTGCATTTTGTGGAAAGTGATTACATTGAGTTCGCAGGTGTCAAAAAGGAAATCCCATACCATTTAATTCAGTGACGTGTTGTCCACAACATTTGCTTGTTATTTTTTTTTGTTTGTTTCTTCTGTGATAATTGTAAAAAAAAAATATATATAAATAAGCATTGGAAAATGTTTGAAAAAAAAAAAAGTTTCATGGGGGATCGAACCCGGTCCTCCCACGTGCGAAGCGGGCGTCTTTCCCACTGAGCTACTGGGGGATCTCTTTCCGTAGTAATATTTCAGCCGGTAGACTGTAAGTTGGAAAGTTCGCTGCCGATTTCCTTCCAGCAAAAGCGCTCCCGGGTCGAAATCGGGAAGCACCACGCATCGGCGACATTCGCACCTAGTAAAGAAATTGTACGCTTGCATATTCAACTCGAAGTAGACACGTCGGGCTTGACATTTGCGCGAGCGATGTCTTCAGCCACGAGATGGGAGCGACGGCTCGGCGACGTCTTCGTGCAAATCGGCTTGGTGGTCGGGCGTGTCGTACGAGATAAATACCAATTCTTTTGATCAGTCTCAAATTTTTCTTTAAAAGGCAGACAGAATACGCCGGTACCGCGAACAATAGTTCTGAAATAGAGGTCCCACGCCCATCGTCCGCTGCCATCGCCGTCCCCGCGAGTACCACGATACGCGAAACGACGCACGCACAGAATGCTTCCGGTTGTCTGTGGAACTTTTTTTTCAATCAACGTATTTGCAGCTTTTTAGAAGCCACAAAAAATGGGTTTCATATTTTTTTCTATTTTTAATATTGAATGTGTGCCTTCAGTGACCAACGACTTTGATTAAATTTGGTGGTCGCATTGATACCTTAGAAAACGGCCCGTGACAACGAAAAAGAGAGTGAGCGAGACTCGAACCGGCCAGTTCTTGATCGGCGGTTTTCGGGCGGAAAGAAACCGAATTTCGAGTCGCAAATTGTGTTCTGGGTAGTTGGGCTCTAAAATGTCATGTACAACTAAAAACCTCGGCGAGCATAAACACCCTGTCAGTGTCCCTTTAAAATTTCTTACGACGAAAGATTACACTGGCGCCATTTGTTGGGTAGCCTTGGACAACTTGGCATTTTCATATATATTTTAATTTTTTTTCCGTGCATCATTCTTTTTTACTTGGCTCAAAAAACTTTGACAGTATTATAAGGGACCATTTCTTATAGATAGTGGGTACATTTGATCTCGCGAGTACCGCAAAACCTTCGTTCCAGTGAAATGCAGTGTGAGGGTGACCAGCGTCTCCCTTCTTTCGTCGTAAGAGACCACAAGAACTTTGCTGTATACAGGTGCAATGTGTGAAGGGGCCTTTTAATGTTTGTGATCGCTGCAGATTGCCGGACGTCTGCACATGGAGATCAGCAAGACGGAAGGAGTGCTGCCCGACCGGGGTACCGACCCCGAAGGAAGCTTCCGGGGCTCGCTGCTGGACATCTCCGACGACGGCTCTGGACGACAGGTCACGGTCAGGGTGCGTGCACCGCTACGTTAAAGTTGACGCAGATTTCTAGTGGCAGCAACTTATTGTGGGACATGGCTTCAAACAACTACCATATTTTAAGGACTATGGTGCACAACCGGTGCATAGACTCCAGGAACAAAATCAAACGGGAAAAATAAAGAAACATTGGCTGCATACATGGTTCGTCTGCCAAACGCTTTTAAATAGGGTAGCTTCATAGGTTGGCTGGCGCTCTAAGTTCAGGAGGCCAGGGTTTTGTATGGAAACAGAATATGTCACACCATTGTCTCTTTGTGATGCCGCGCACGCTTCCTTTCAGCACCACTCAAATAAAAGGGCCTTTGCGCTGAATTTTCTGGGACACCAAGAGAGGGAAAGCAAGCTTTTCTGTCCTTTCCACTCCTTCTCGTTCTGCATGCTCTTTTTACACCACCTGTTTCTGCTCCTCTCTTTCTTGCCCCTTCCACCCCTCTCCCTTCCACACGCTTTCTCACACCACCTGCTTCTCCTCTTGTTTCTGCGTGCTAGGTCCGTTGCTCAGTAAGCAGCACACTCGGCTTTTACGCCAGTGACCGGGGTTCAATCCCTGGCACCGGTTGCCTTTTTCAAAATCGTTTAGCGGTTACTGATTGACTGACCTACACGTTTCGTGCTTGCGTGTCTCCTGAACTTGGTTGACCTTATAAAGCTACATCTTTAAAAGGTTTTTCCTCAGATAGTCTGTGTTCGGTGCATAGCATACACAAAGAAAATATCTAATTTACAGCATACCTTAAAAAATACCTGTTTTATTAACACAGAAGCTTGTATTATACAGGAATAATCATTACCCTGTCACTCACACCAGGTGGCCATCAAGAGTGCTGTGGGGCTACCGCCCTCGCTGTCCCACTTTGTGTTCTGCCAGTACACCTTCTGGGGCCACGCCGAGTCGGTGGTGGTGGCCCCCGTGGAGGAGTCCGTGGCCAAGCTTGATGTGCCGGCCATCTCGCCGGACAGCTCCAGCACCTCCTTCAAGTTCGGCCACGTGCGGGTGGGTAACATTGGTTGTCGGAGTAAACAAAGTAGCATATTAATGTAGAGCGTGTTTTGTCAGCCGAATTCCACGAGAAAACCGTCACAATGAACCGTCTTAAAATACTGCCACATCAATGGCCCCGCTAAATTTAGTGGGGAAATTATTGTCATGTTACCTCGAGTCACTCAGTGTCAATTTCCGTGCTAAATTTAGCAGGGAAATTGATGTGACATGATCACGTTCTGTCACCTCAAGTGATGCAATGTCGATTTCTGAGGCAGCAGGTTGCACACTCGCGCCCCTATCTCGCACGGTTCTCAAACTGCCGATTACAACTTTCGTACTCGAACCTTGAACCGCAAATCCCGCGCCCTTAGGCTCCCATATTCATTTTGCTAAGACTTTTCCTGCCATCCGAGGAGCCAATCGGATATCGCTCTTTTTGGACGAATGGGAGCCACGCGGTACAAAACAAACATATCCGATACAAAATTCAATTAAGAAAGGACACGTGCACAGACCCCCGAAAACTCCCCAAAACCTTCGCCCTAACTGTCGACCGTCAGCCGGACACCGCTTCCAGGAAAAAACCCTCGTCGGGGTGCAAGAACAGTACCGACGCTTCTTCTCAAAATAAAAAAGGCTACAAAACATTGAGGGGCCCCGCTGTGCTTGAGCGAGGCACAGCGCATGGTACGCACCCAAACCTGGGGTCCTCGAGGAACAATTAAAACGAGGGACATGGGGGCTGCTCCATAGTGACGACAAACCAGCCCTGGCAGCTCCGCGAGAGGGACATGGGGCACTCGCGAAGCAATAAAAGTAGAAGTTAAGAAATATATTTTTTTTTCTTGAGTAACGCTACGCAGCGCAGCCTACCTCACAATTTATTTAACAAAAGAGATTTGCAGCCGATTATAGTATATACTATATGTGTGTGTGTGTGTGTGTGTGTGTGTGTGTGTGTGAATCCCGCAGTGCCGGCTACTCCGTGACGACCAATATATATAACTATATTGGAAGAGAAGAAAACGCAAAAGCAACAACACACACATACACAAAAAGCAAATTGCGGAGGCCGCGGCTTACACGCCAAGGAGTATAGAAGGGTAGGAGAGTGCATGACGTCAGCCACGTAGCCTCCACAAGCCATGCTCCCTTGACGCCTCGCCTCTTTCTCATTTTCCTCCTTACTCTCCTCACTTATCAGGCAACGTGACCACATCACGTGACCGTAGCTGGCCTTCGTCTAGCCTTCGATCTGATAAAACCTACCGGACGAAGCGCGCGCCAGCCTGCAAGGAATCCACTTATGTACAATTAACCATCCATCTCGCACGTGACATGTCACGCGCACCAATCGCCAGAAAGATCTGCGGTCACGCTGGGCACAATATCGTTTAAACTTTTTATGACTAGGCTTCACCAAAATTGCAATGTGCCCCCTCCTAGTACTTCTAACCTCCTTGTTACACGCCCAATCGCGCAACCCTCAGTCCTTGGTTACGTTTATCGCGATCTGTGGGGTCCCCACAAGCTGGACCCTTCTTATTAAATGTTTGATGTTTTTGTTGTTGTTTCTTCTTACTAAAGGCTGTGTTGTATTGTTTCACACGTGTGGAAATTCAGCAAAGCGTTAAATATTAAGTCGGATGCTTCCATAATCTTAATGCCGTCGTTTGTAGAACCTTTGGTTCTTCATATTTTTGTTATATCGCACAATCGATAGCTTTCACAAAGCGTTGAGTCCTGATTGGAGATGGGGTTTCATTAACAAATTAATCCGACTGATTGCCACCCTTTAATAGACTAATCAATGAATAATCTCATTAATTGATTATTTTCCAGTCATACTATTACATAAAAGACGTTAAAACTTCCCATTTTTTATTATTTTTACTATGTCATCAATGATATATTGCATTTCCTTCCTTTTTTTTTTACAACTTCTCCTTGAAGTTGGCTCCGCTGTTTTAAAAAAAATATACAACACCGCATTGATATTGAAGAACCCGAGAGTCAGTGACCTTGCCCACTCCCCTTCGGCAACCCCCCCCCCCCCCCCCCCTCCCGTGTACACCATTGTTGCAACATATCCTCTGATTCTCTGGTCTCTGGTTTTTGTCAGCGTGATCAAGCTCACGTAATTAATTTTTTTCAATGTATAAGTTATTGTTTTCCCAAAATCTTTTCATCAGTGAATTTTATAAAGCATTGCAACTTATATGCATTTTTTTTTTTTTTTTTATAAGCGTAGACCTTAGCTGTGAAGAACTAGGCCTTATCATCATTTATGACTTGGGAGAAATATCAAAATGGGCTTTTCTTTGGGGGGGGTTCAAGAAAAGCGTTGATTTGCTGACCGAACACCCAATGGCACATCTTTCCCGCAGGACTTTGTGGTCCCGGTTACGGAGGAGTTTGTGGAGTACTGCACGGAGGGCGCCCTCTCGGTGGAGGTGTGGGGCCACCGGTGTTCGGGCTTCACAAGCTCGGGCACGGGCTGGGACCTCGGCGGCGGCGGGCCTCAGTCACACATCTCCCACTCCCTGGTCGACAGGTGGGGGACTTTCTCGGGGTTAGAGTTGCGCGGGAAACAGTCATCCTTAATTGCTTTCAGTGTGATGAAGGACGATCGTGAAGATATGAGTTCGCTACTGATAGAATGATCAGTGCTCCGCCGCCAGTTGCTTCCAAGTTTCTCTCACTTTAGTGCTGCGCTGCCATTCACTTCCCGGGGCGGCTCGAGGCATGGGCCTTCTGCATGAGCGCATTTTATGCTAGTATTTGAAAGACGAACACAAACAGATCAAGCAGCTCTAGTGCATACGACTTGCCATGCTCGACTCCCGTGTTTGTCCCTCTGAAACAGGTTGTTATGTTACTACGTATGGAAAGAAGCACATAGAGGATTGTTTTAACCGAAGTCGGGTTGAAAACTGAAGTACTCTTGTTTATTAGAACAAAAGTTCTAGTAAACGAGAGGTTACCACTCTGGTTACTGCAAAGCCAGGAACGGACGTTTATTCTTACCCCACGCCGCTCTCGCGACCAGCTCAAGACATTGGAGCCCGCACGTGATCCAATTCCGTGACGCAGGTGGGCGGAGCTCAAGCGCAAGCTGGAGCTGTGGCTGGAGATCCACGAGCTGACGGAGCAGGGGGAGTACGCCCCGGTGGAGGTGGTGCCCCGGGGAGACGTGGGCACCGGAGGCGTGTTCCAGCTGCGCCAGGGTCAGCAGCGTCGCCTGGTGGTGCGGGTGGCGCCCGTGGCCAGCTCAGGCACCCTGCCCCTCATATGCCAACAGGTGGGCTCGGTGGCCGTGGGCGCCGTCTGTGTCCGCTCCCGCCTCCAGAAGCCCCTCGACTCCTACCAGGCGAGTGGTGGGCGCCTCCTGCCCCGTCTTTCTCGCTTATTCGTGATGTTGCGCAAATATTCGAATAGTAGTTTCGAATAATACGCTATTCAATGTTCGCTTTGAGATAAATTGGGACATTCATATTTTTCCAAGTGTCTATCGCGGCAGGTGAGCCTTGTTGAGCATGCCTCTTACCGAGCACCGGTGAACGGGGGGGAAGCAACGGTCGCGGAGCTTGCTTTCGTGGGTGTTGCTTTGCTGCAGTGCACCGGTGCTCAGTAAGAAGCGCTCTCAATGGGGCAAGCCTGCCGTAATGAACGGTTTGAAAAGTACAAATATGGTAGCCGCGCACTTGGGAGAAAAGCGGACTTTTAAGTCGGATGGTATGCACACGCATCGGGTTTATTTAAAAAGGAGACTGAAACTTTGGGAATAATAATATCTACGTTCCAGTCAAATTTTCAAGATTAAACTGGCAATTATGCGCAAGTAAATGTTAGGCTGAGGTATTATGAAAACTTGCGTTAGCTGTCCGTGATTGAAAAAAGGATAATTGCATATAGCAAGAATATTTGCAGATCCCCTCAATTAGCTGCAGCTCGGCATCTCTATAATTTTAGTTTTATGTCAAATGTGTCGTTCACTTGCCCATCTTGATGTATGCATGGGACTTTCTGAGGTCGCAATGGATAAATATAGATAGATTAAAATTAACTTACAAATGGCCAAGTAGAAGTTTGAGAGCAACCTTCATTAGCTCATTTCAGGATTAAAAGCGCTAAAAAACGAGGACCAGCAAAAGAAGACACACGCACAGTAGAGCGCCAACCAACTAGCCCAAGTGAATAGCCTTTTAACGTTCATTAGCTCAGTTGGGTTTTTGTTTAAGCACGGTGCTGTAGTGAAAGGCTTAGAAAAACTATTAAAATATTTGTCCAAAACCACTATTTGCGCATGATAACTTACCTGTATTCGCCGACCAAAGAAATGTTCAAACGTCTTGCTTCATGATTCGCTCTTATGCATTTCGATTAGCCAGTCCCGCTGATTCATCGACTGCGTGGTCATAATCAGATGCCTGAGACATGCCACGCCCCGCTTTTCTGAAGATGTCGATCACCGTAACAACAACCATAATTGTTTTGCGAGCCGCTCGTGCAGCTGTTTATACTCGTGTTATGCTTGCATCAACAAAGCTGACAATAAGACTGAAAGCTTGCCATGTTATTGTCAGCTTTGTCGCCATTCCACTCCCTCTCTGTCCTGCACTGCCTCCAGTGGTATATGCCGGCAGTGAATTACTGTACGGTCGAGCCCGGATATATGGAATTCCAAAAGGATTGTGAAATAGTTTGATATACCATAGAATCTCGTTAATTCAAACTTGAGGGGGATTAAAAATTTGTTTGAATAAAGCAAAGTTTGAATTACCGGGAGTTTCCTCCCATAGAGACGCATAGGATGGGACCGTCATGTTAGTTTGAATTATCTGCAAATTTGAATTAAGAGAGCTTGAATTAACAAGATTCGGCTGCATCAATAATTCAATATACCAAATTATGCCAACATAAGCTCTTAATGAAACCTCCTCACATCTCTCGTAATTGCCTAAAATCATAATGAGCAGGAGCTTACCGATCGTGAATCCAAAGGTCGCTAAGTCGACGAGCACACCACTGCAATGAAAACTTTCTTTATTTTAGGAGCCAAAAAAAAATTGTTGTGCAAAATCCACCAATGTCACGTGATAATATAGTAAAACAAAACAACAACCTGTGCGTTAAGACACATTAAATTTTTTGCTGCTTCTTTCCGCAGTTATATGATTGCAGCAAATGTGGCCCTGTTTGTTGTCGTCGTATGAAAAGTGGGCAGTGGTGTGCGCGTCCAATAGAGAATTTGCCTCGGACTCTCTAGGATGACGACTTGGGGGTTCTGCGGGAGCGCTGGTGCGACGCTCTGGGCCGACGACGGGAGTACCTGGACGAACACCTGCAGAAGATAATCCACAAGCAAGGTGGGCGGCGTATTGCGGTTTCCTCATTTTTTTTCCAGCTCTTCCATCTCGTCGACCTGAGTTCCAATCAACAAAACCGCCGGGTAGTGTATTCCGGGTCACGCTTTCTTCCCAAAATGCGGTCTAATCGATTGTCTCTCCCAATTTCGAGGACAACCTCTGACGGAGCGGTTTGTTTTGGACGCGCCTTTTCGTTCACGAGTAGCTGCGAAACTTCAGTCATTTAACAACGTACAGCTATGCTGTAAGTATTGCAGTATGCTGTAATATCCTGAAAAATAGTGCCCGTGTAGTGATACATCATCATGAAGACCGGTTAACCGTTGATGTGCACTGCGTCAGTAAATAAACTGATGAGGACAAATCCTCGTGTGTCCGCACCATTGAAATAGTTGCTGCAGAGAATGCGACAGCACACTATTCGATTCGGTTTTGTCTCTAAAGTTGAAAGAGGGATAGGCTGCAAGGAGTGAATGCCTCCTGTGTAGGTATTTTGTGATGTCCAAGTGACTGCAAATGCAGCAAACTGAAAGCACTCCCTTGTGTCTTGCAGTGAAAACGGACGAGGACGTGGAGCGGGAACAGAGCCTCATCAGTCAGTGGGTCTGCCTGACGGAGGAGAAGAACGCCGTCCTGGCGCCTGCTCCGGGCTCCGACATCCCCGGAGCCCCCGCTAACTGGCACGTGCACTGTCACGTTCATGTTCAAACTCGCTCGCAAATACAAACACATGCACTGCCCTGTTCATGTTCGTATTCGTGTGAATGCAAACATATGCTCTCACACTCAAGTCATGTGAAGACATAATCTCTCACGTTCATGTTTGTATTGATGTGAATGCAAATGCGTACACTCTCTTATGCATGTTCCTATTCATGCGAACATGATCATGTTCACATTCATGCAAATGCGAGTATGTACTTCTTACATTCATATTTCTGTTTATGCAAATGCAAACATGTACACTCTCCAATCACGTTCATAGTCATACAAACATGAGCTCATATATATTCTTATAGTTACAGCCGAACCTGGATATATCAAACTCAAAGGGGATCATAAAATAGTTTGATATGTCAATAATTTGATAAACAAAAATGAGTTAACTTAAGCTCCAGTTGAAACTTCCGCACTTCTCTGCTAATACCGATGGTTGCGAATATACTCTCACAGTTACAGTCGAACCCGGATATATCGAACTCAAAGAGAATCGTAAAATAGTTCGAAATATTGATAATTCGATAAACAAAAATGAGTTAACTTAATTAAGCTCCAGTTGAAATTTCCGCCCGTCTTTGCTAATACCGATGGTTGCGAATATACTCTCACAGTTACAGTCGAACCCGGATATATCGAACTCAAAGAGAATCGTAAAATAGTTCGAAATATTGATAATTCGATAAACAAAAATGAGTTAACTTAATTAAGCTCCAGTTGAAACTTCCGCCCTTCTCTGCTAATACCGATGGTTGCGAATATACTCTCACAGTTACAGTCGAACCCGGATATATCGAACTCAAAGAGAATCGTAAAATAGTTCGAAATATTGATAATTTGATAAACAAAAATGAGTTAACTTAATTAAGCTCCAGTTGAAATTTCCGCCCGTCTTTGCTAATACCGATGGTTGCGAATATACTCTCACAGTTACAGTCGAACCCGGATATATCGAACTCAAAGAGAATCGTAAAATAGTTCGAAATATTGATAATTCGATAAACAAAAATGAGTTAACTTAATTAAGCTCCAGTTGAAATTTCCGCCCGTCTTTGCTAATACCGATGGTTGCGAATATACTCTCACAGTTACAGTCGAACCCGGATATATCGAACTCAAAGAGAATCGTAAAATAGTTCGAAATATTGATAATTCGATAAACAAAAATGAGTTAACTTAATTAAGCTCCAGTTGAAATTTCCGCCCGTCTTTGCTAATACCGATGGTTGCGAATATACTCTCACAGTTACAGTCGAACCCGGATATATCGAACTCAAAGAGAATCGTAAAATAGTTCGAAATATTGATAATTTGATAAACAAAAATGAGTTAACTTAATTAAGCTCCAGTTGAAATTTCCGCCCGTCTTTGCTAATACCGATGGTTGCGAATATACTCTCACAGTTACAGTCGAACCCGGATATATCGAACTCAAAGAGAATCGTAAAATAGTTCGAAATATTGATAATTCGATAAACAAAAATGAGTTAACTTAATTAAGCTCCAGTTGAAATTTCCGCCCGTCTTTGCTAATACCGAAGGCCGCGACAAACGGGACCTTACCAAATAGAGCCTCTAAGAGCCGCTAAATACAGTAAGTTGGTGACAATCACAAACACTAGCCGCGTTTACGCGACGAGGGTGTTTGCCATCGTTTACACGAGGGCAACAAAACACGAAAATAATTTTAAAAAATGAAAAAACAAAAAAAGCGAGCCGCATAAAAGAAAAGGATTGATTCATAGAATAAAGTTAAGCAAGCAACAAAAAGAAACCACTAAATTCAGGCAACAAAAAAAGAAAGGCAAAAAGGAAAAACGCGCAAAGCAAAAACGTTGAAAGAATGAAATAAACAAAGATAAGGTGTTCAAAGTGTGATTGCTTAATGGTTGTTGTGGGCACACTCGACAGGACTTTTTTTGTCTTATTTTATTTTGGGGTTAAGGAGTCGCAGCGACAGCGGTGATCGGGGAAAGAGCGCTCGCTATCATTCCAACAGCGAGCATTCCCTGCCCTCCCTACGCGCGCCCCTGCCCTTCCCCTTGCTTTTGCCATCCTCCATTTTTTTTCTTCTTTTTTTTTTTACGATTTTTTTTTTACAACTTTTTTTGTTGCGTACTTTGTGAGCATATGCAGGCTTGGTGGTCTGCCAGCCCCGCAACGCGAGCTATGTGCTCGTCGCGGGCGGCGCAATCCAAAGGTGGGAGAAGCGATGGGAGGGGCCGCCGTGCTTTGCTTTGTTCGCTACATCGAGTGTCCCCGCCACGGAAGCCATGGGAGTCCAATACAGAAAAACAATGCTGCTATACAATTATGTGTGATTTTCAAGGGGATGTTTTGACTGTTCGATATAAACAATAATTTGAAATACCCGAGTGTGATATAACCGGGATCGACAGTATGTCTATTCATGCAAACATGAACACATAAACTCTCACCTTTGTATTCGTGAATATGAATGTGCTCAGTCTTCCCTTCGTTTTTGAATGTTGTGTCTCTCCTTTTGAGTAAAACTTAGATTACAGAATTTCTGATGTGCTATAGTAAGTTACAGCTAAAGAGGGTAGGGCGAGGGAAAGGAAGGCAGGGGAGGAGAAAGCAGACGGAACACTGGAGACAGGAAGTTTCCCCCTCTCCTCTCCAGTGTTCCGTCTGCTTCCTCCTCCCCAGCCTTCCTTTCTCTAGCCCTACCTTCTGACTTGTCCAAGCGAGTGACCTCCTGTTGTGGCCGGTGTTTTCGGGTATGCAGGGAGCCACAGATAGGCATGGAGCAGCATGTTCCCGTTATCTTCCTGGACTTGAGTGGTGAGTTCGTCCTCATTCCTTATGTCTGGGGGGAAGTTGCACTAACCTCCTCTTTCACATGGAAAACAGATGGTTCTGACTGTTGTGAAACCTGGATAGAATTGATGCATCTCAGGCAACTGACGAAGGATGGGGAGAGCCTTATGTCATGCCATCATTTTCCATATTTAATTTGACATTGTACGAAAGTATAAAACTCCAATTTTTAACATATAGTACAGGCACATCTCATTAATATGGGCATTTCCATTTCCCCTGAAAATCTTCCATTAAAACAATACAGAAAGCAGTGTAGTTACCCAGTTCGTCCCGAAAATTGTTGTCTGTATAGTGGACAAAACTATAGAAGCTTTGTAGAAAATTGAGGGGCACGTCAAAGGAAGTGGACAAGGAGGAACAGGATTATTCTTTTGTCTGGTGCAACTATCTTGTCAGGATGTCATTGATACCTTCATGTGATGTGTGCAGTCCCAAAATGGCTATTAACTGCAAGTAATTTTTTTTTTTTTTTTCATTATAGTTTGAATGTGTTTTGCTTCGTGGTGCTCAACTATGAATTGATTTTCTACCCTCAAAAGATTGTTTTCTTCTCGTTTATTTCTATAATGGAGGGAAGCACCTGTGTCGGCGAAAATGAGTAACGAAGGAGAATGGTAGAAATCTGAACCCCACAAATGCTTTCTTTTGAAAACAAGCTCATGAAACTTGATATCCCTTTCATGTTCTATAAATCTAAGCAGAAATTAGTTTGAGAAAAAAAATTGTTTTAATGATAGTGGAACAAGAAAAGCAGTGCAAAATAGCGAATGCTGCCTTCTGCAGTCCTCATGTCTTTCCACCGTTTTGCTAGTTACAGTTTTCAGCCTAAACTGGGTGTCATCAACTTAGAAAGAAATGGGGATGAGAAAGGTGACAGCGTCATGCTGCGGATGCTTGAGTCTCATCTAGGCGTCTTTTTGAGATTGTTTGTACGTCTTTTTTAAAGAACCGTGTTGTCGCCTGTCTTTTTTGCAGACGACATGAGCGTTCCGAACTCTGGGGAGAATGGTCTCCAGGTGGCGGGGTCCAACTCGATCCTCCCCAAGGAGCACCACTCCCAGCTCTTCAACCTCCCCATCGTCAAGCACTGCGACAAGGACGTATGTCTCCTGATTCGACTCGTCGTTGTTAAACTCTGAATGCGTTATGGGGCTCGTTCCCACAAGATGAGCATAACGTTATGAAAGGGCATCACGAAAAAAACGTCGCATGGTTACCATGGAAGCATAAATTAATATTAACTTTAACTTAATAATATATAATGGAAATATTTTTTTGGGTTTATAGGAACCATGGCGCCGCAAAAGGCAAGTGGCCCATACCATGAAGGCCTGCGACGCCTCATCTAATGATGATGTGATGAGATAGTGTACAGATGACAGAGGTGCTGACAATAAATAAATGTACTTATTCAATAATTACACTCATTTTAGCGATTATTCATATATTGCCATTAATTAATCGTAATAATTTATTAATTATAAAGAGAAAAATAAATGCTTGTGCACAAAATTATAGCTCTAGCCCTCACGATTTGCTGGCCGATGCTCTTTTCTGTGCTGGCTGGGCAACACAGACATCAGCAATAGTTAGTATGTTACATGATCATGTGATTACTGTAGGTATTACATAGTTCACAAGAGTTACATGATTATGTTACGTTATCATGGTGCCATGCGACATCACATGACATGCTTATAACATCACATGACCGTTTTCAATTGACATGTTTATGCCTTTAAGCTATTTAAAAACTTGGTAATGTCAGAACTCTAGTATAGTATGTGATTTTTTTGTTTGGTATATTTGTGTGTATGTTGTTAGTGTGTTTGATGTATGTGTGTGTTTCTTTTGTGTCTGTGTTGTGGTTAGTGTTGTGCGAATATTCAAATATTCGAATAGTATGTTATTTGATATTTGCTTCGAGATGACTTGCGATATTCATATTTTTTCAAGTGCTTGTCGTGGTGAGTTAGCCCGATTGAGTGCGCTTCTTACCGAGCACCGGCACACCGCAGAGATGCAACATCCGCGAAGCTCACTTTTGCGGGAGTTGCTTCTCCGCAGTGTAACGGTGCTTGGTAAGAAGCGCACTCAACGGGAATAACTCGCCGCAATCAACAATTACATTACAAAGTCGTGTGCGCAGAAGGTAAGCACACGTTCAGAGTGTGATGGCGCACTCGCGCGTAGTGTATTTATTAAGAAATTAAAACTTTGTGATTGTTGATATGTGCACCGCAATAAAAATTTCAAAGCTAAACTGGCTATTATGCAAGAGTATATGTTAGGCAGAGGTGTCCTGACAACCTGCATTTATAATTCATAATTGTCTTTTTTTTTTTTTAATTCGAGATTTAAGGAAGTATTTTTGTGGATAGCAGAATTTATAAATCCCCTCAATTAGGTATTGCCGGGCATCTTTAGAGGTTTAATTTTACGTCAAATGCATCATTTGCTTGCCATCCCCATGTAGGCATTGGACTTTCTGAGGCTGCAGTCAATAAATATAGTTGGAATAAAATTAACTTAGCTTTGAAATGAACAGGTGGAAGCTTAGGGACAACCTTCTTGAGTTCAGCTGGGTTTTCGTTTTAAGTATTGTGCACCAGTGAAAGGCTCGGAGAAACTATTTGATATTTGATTAGAAGATATTCAAGCAAAGCCCCCATTCACTTTGAACTTGAAATTCATTTTTTGCCAACGTCTTGCTACTTACCAAGAAGGCATGTTGCTGTTGGTGTGCATCATTAAAAAAAAGGAAACATAAATTTCTATTAAATTTAGCAGGAAAAGAATTGTCCACAAAGGGATGAAGGTGTTTTCCCTCTTTTTGGTTTAAATGTCGCCACAGTGGAAGCAAAGGGGGCGTGCAGTGATTTCCCTACACACACCTCTGGGGGGTGTGTACACCCATTCTTGTTTTTCTGGAGGCCCTTCCTTAATTTGCAATGTCCCCTCTATTCTCAATGCCTCCCCCCCCCCCCCCCCCACCCCCTAAAAATTTAGACACCCCCCTAATTTCAATTCCTGGGGAAACCCCTGGGCACGTGTGTTTTACCCGCCTCCCTTCTCTGGCCTCCATTTTCAACGCTGCTCTGCCCCGAGGTGTGAGGTCTCTCCCATTGTCTCCCCCGACGGCAGGTGTGCGCCACGGCGGCGTGGGACTCGTCCATCCACAACTCCATGCACCTCAATGCTCTGACGTCCCCCAACGAGAGGGTGTACCTCATCCTGAAGGTGTCGGTGCGGCTGAGTCATCCGGCAGTCATGGACTTGATCCTGCGCAAGCGCTTCGCCATCAATGTCTACAAGAGGCAGTCCTTCACCGACAAGATCCGCAAGAGAATCACCCGACAGGTGACCTCTCACGTTCTGTAGCGACCTTCTTCCGCCGGATGACCGAGTGGATCTGGAGAAACCCCCGTAGGCTGGCAACCCTGGGGTCTTCACTTGGGTCTAATACGGTTTAGCTTAAAGGCGTTAGTACCAGAGTACTTTTTCGTGCCATTTCTATGGCTTTTTCTTTGGCTCCCCACATAATTGCCAAAGTGCCAGACTTGAGCCAGCAATGCTGCATACGAACTGAAGAATTAGCACTGAAGCCTAAATCTGGCCCCTGTTTGGCAATTTGTGCCCAGTGTTGCCACATGAAAAGTGAACAACCAGAAGTGAAGCTTAACTCTGCTGCTTTTTTGGCGATTTAGGCCCAGAGATGCCAGGTGACAGCCAAACTACCAGCAGTGACGCCTAGCTTTGGTACTTGTTTGGCAAACTAGGGCCAAGATACCCAGACTCTGGCCAGAAAAAGTTATCTCTACTTCGGCTTTTTGGGCTTGCTCCCAAGAACAGTGCTTTTCTGGGCATTTTTTATTTTTAGAGCAATTCCAGCAGAAGTTTATTCGTCTTGTTTATCATAGACATATTAGTCACCGCCATTTTTACATCCATTACTCTGTCGTAGCACGCCTCACGTCTTTTTATGATGGGAGGCTTGCACGTGTTGTTTTGCCCAGTTGTGCACGGTACGCTCGAATTGCGATGAGTTGTTAGCATCGATGCAGTTCCGAGTCCTTTCTGGAAAAACCTGCAAGTGTCTGCACACTTTCTGCGCAGATATTATTTGTTTAGAAGTGTCCAATGACACTGTCGCAACAAACTTAAAACTTAATATTTTTACAGAATTACATATTTACTTGATCATTCTTTCCTCTTAGATGCATAGGGACATGTAGTCTTTGATTGTACCTTTAAAAACATATACTTATGTTTTTCAATTGTTTTTTTTAGGAGACAAAGTGTACTGTCATGCAGGCCTCTTGGCTGTTGACAGGCACTAAATAAACTTTCTGTCTTATTTTCTTGTCAGGTATGGAGAGTGAGGGTGTGTCTTACTGTTTTCTTCCTCTCCACAGGATGTCTACTTCGCTTCTGGAGTGACCTACGAGATTGTGGCGAGCATACCCAAGGTAAGTGGGAAGTGATTGGCTCTACTTGTCATATCGAGGACTGGTTCGCAGATTTCCATTTGTGTGTGATCGACCGTGTTGCAAGCGCTTGTGACCGCTCATGATGAGTGAACTCACTGGCACTATCCGCTGGGTAGTCTTGAGACATTTCTGTGCTGCATACATTTTAGGCATCATTCTTTCACTGTGTGCGTGAAATAATTGTGATGATGTTACGTGCATTTGTGCGAACCAGCCTTTATGGTTGCGGTTAGGTTAGGGTTGTGTCAGGGTTACGAACCCACCGGGATAACGTTTGGCAAGTTAGAGTTGCATTTAGATTAATGACCCACGAAGATTATGTTTAGTGGGTTAGGTTAGGTTAGAGTTACAAACCTACCAAGGTTATCTTTAATTAGGTTGCATGGAAACTAGATGAGGTTGGACTATCAAAGGGCCATTAAAAAGGCTGAGATTGTCCGTTTATGGTTATGACTCGATCTACAAGCTCCAAGTGTTCTTACAAACCCAAGATTGGATTGATATACGACCGATTTCCCTATTTCGAAAAGGAATGGAGTTTGCGACACGCCTGTTTAATTGCTATTCGGCGCACACACGAGAGGGCGCCATTGGACGTGCGGCAGCCAATTGTGAAGGATCGCTTCCTGTGTACGAATGGCACACTTCCGAAAATCGGCTCGCCATCAGTCGGTCCCTTTGCCATGCGGGAGGCGACTGCTCGCGATTGGCTGTCTCACATCCGACAGCGGCCTCCGGTTTTTGCGCTGAATCGCTGAAAAACGAGTGTCGTGACCTTTGATCTTATTTTTACCTGGGAAATTGAACACATATCAATCTCACCTTGGGTATCTTAGAATGCTCAGGGGCCGTAGATCAAGTCATAACCGTAAATCGAAGATCGCAGAAACTACTTTGGTGCCCCTTTGAAGACGAGCGTCTTGCATCTTCTCCCCTTTGCCCTTCTCTTCTCCCGACCAGGCCTCCGAAGACCCCGAGGGACGGGAGTCCCTGGCCCTGATGGCGGCCTCGGGCGGGGACGCGGGCAGCAGTGACGGAGAGAGCTACATCGAGAAATACACCCGGGGGGTGTCGGCAGTCGAGAGCATCCTCACCCTCGACCGCCTCAGACAGGCAAGGCCGCCCTCTCTGACCACGTGGTTACTCCTCCTTTCTTGCCGGCGAATAAATCTGGAAACGGCATGCAGAAGACCGGGCGGAAGTAGGAGGGCAGAAGTGCCGCCTGACGGTTGAACATTTATTGGGGAAAGACAGCCCAAACAACCGTCAGTAACAAAACAAACAGAAAGCATGGAAGTTCCGCGTTGATTGTGATTCACTGCTTATTAATGAACTCTATCTCTTTTATATACCTAGTTAAATCGACGTTTGACTAACGCAACTATCTACACCCTCTTTTTCCCGCAGCTTTATCCTTACCTCTTTTTCTTGCCCTCAATTTCCGAACGTGTTTGTTACGAACCAAGGAGTCTGGATTTGATGCGGTAGTACGGTACGAAATTAGCGGTTCCTGTGGCCGAGCGTGTTGACGGACTGCAACTCGGAGCACGTAAACCTAAACAAATGCGCGGCGCAATAGACCCTTTTCAAAACCCTGCAAGCAACATTGGCAACCGCCATTTCTGAGGCACCGAGCGCGTGATTAGATTTGAGTCTTCGCCAAACAGTAACGTAGCCCTCGTATCCACTGCGTGCTCAGAGTGTGTGCCCGAACGATGGCGGACTGGGCAATCGGTGTGGCAGCCACCGGACGGTGCACACTTTTGAAGACGGTTTGTCACCGGATGAAAGCCACGAGCTTGATGCGACTGTCCGGTCCACAGGAAGTGGCGGTGAAGGAGCTCCTGGCCGCGGAGGGGCGCCTGCTACGCAAGACGGCGAGCGTGCCCAACATCGCCCAGGGGATGCGGGGGGAGACCGGGTCGACGCTGCGCCCAGACGAGCCCCACCGCTGCGACTCGGTGGCCAACCTGAGCATGACTTCCTCGCTCAGCGAGGGCCTGGACCGCTTCCTCAGCGAGGGGAAGAACGCTGCCATCTCGAGCCTGGGTCAGTTCCACTGCTGCCCCTCTCCGCTTTCCGCTTTTATTGTTGATTGGGTTCGACGAGATGATGATGATCATCATCCTCGTAATAGTAACAATAAGAATACTTACTAAATAATAATAATATTATGTAATGGTATTTAATAATAACATTGAATAGTAATTAATAATATTGATAATTAACAATAATAATATTTATCAATAACAACAGAATAATAATAATGATGCTGATCATTAATAGCAATAATAATAGTATAGTAATAGGCTTGGCAAAAGGATGGGGATGATTGTGCACAGGAGTTGACAGCTAGCAAAGATGCTATGTCATTATATTATTGAAGAAAGTATAAATGTATAAATAAAACACGGAGGCCAAAAGGAACACTCAGCCCTTCATGCAGCTCATAAAACAATTCAGAAATCTTAGTTTATACGTCAAGATCTAAGCTATTTTTTGACTGGTCTAAATGACTACAGTTGTAAGAGTTCAGCGTGCAACATGATATAATCGTGAGGTGTGAAACGACCATGCACATTTTTTCGAAACTTGAAAATCTTTTGGTAGACTAGATTGTTTTATTATTTGTAAGACCCTTTTGGCTTTACTAGTGGCAGTTTATATGTGCTGTTGAAATAATTCTTTACTAGTATCATATAAATATGCAATCTTTCAGATGGAAAAAGGTTGGTCAGCATCCATTAGACTAAGTTGAAGCCGGCGTATATCTCTGTGGATACTGCGTGGGGTGAAAAACGAGAATGTGAAATGGGTGAAGAAATTACTTGGAGAAGAAGGAGGCAGTCGCATGCCAACTTGCTTTTAAGTGGGGGGGGGGGGGGGCAAACGAGAACCCCCCCCCATGGCCGGTGGGCGGTGCCTTTGGTATCTCTTGGGCGCCGCTGGCCAGTGTTTGCCCTGCCCAGTGGCAGCTGTTTTAGGGTGGGGGGGGCAAAACACATGCCTTGCCCCCCCTTTCTGAGAACCGGGGCCTTGCCCCCCCAGTTGGTACACCCATAGAAGAAGGCTCATCCTGTTGTTTCCCTTTACTCTGTACGCATCCTTACGACATGAGTCCAATCGCAGCACGTTTGATATACAGCACAAAAATATTTACTAAATTGGGGCGATGCATTTAGGACATCTCTCTGAGAGTACAAGAAATATGAAGTACATCTCATTTAACATATATTGGTGTATATCCCCATGTGCTATTCACTGATTTAATTTCTAGAATATGCAGAGTATTTCAACAATTTTGGGGATGGGAGGTAAACTGCCCTGTGGGGTGCCATATATTTCTAAATTTGCGTGGCTGTAGCACAACCCCACTTCTAACGTGCGGACATATTTTAACCTGCCCATTCATTGTTTCGATCATTTTCGATTTGTGATACTTGGGTTGTCGAAGAACGCAAGTCATTTACAGTCTCACTTACTAATGTTACATGTTTAGGTGTAGTAGATAGAATCTTTTAATTTGCGTGTCAACTCCTCCCTGCACATCCTTGACACTGTGTTTGGAACAGGCCCCAGATCCATTGAATTTACGGACGAGTCAAGAACCGCAGATGTCTCATCGCCCGTCCCTCCAATGTCTCTTCTCTTTCCTGTTTCTTTCCAGCGCGACCGACGTTCCTCAACCTAAACTTCAATCTAAACTTGAGCTTGCGGCAGGCGGCGGGCGCCAAAAGTAGGTCCTTCAATCGCGTCTTGAACTACGCATGATCACGTTTCGCCACCGCCTTTGGACGAAGTAGAGAATACCTGGTTGTTTATTTCGAAAATCAGTTTACGTTGGTGTCACTTTTCTGTTCAGTTCTCATCGTTTCATTTTGTTGTGGAAGTTTCTACTTCGTCCCAAGTTCTTGAGTTTGGTTCGCACCTTGTCAAGTCTCCTTAGTGTCCGTGTGGAGAGCACGTCATTCTTGCACGTGTCGTTTACTGGACCGCATTTTTTGCCCACCCATTTTGGTTTTCCCTTTTCGTCGGCATCCGTTATTTCATTGGTTTCTTTCGCTCTCGAAGACTTAGTGTCTTGACTTGCATTGTTTTAGTAGTTGTAGTTTGCATGCAGCCATTTGAGTTTGAGTTTGCTCGCACCATCGCTCGGTGTTTGGTACCAGGCTTACTGCATTAAATGTTTTTTTAGATACTGTCAGTTTTATTGGCACGTTCATTCGACATGTTTGGTTCTATTCTGGGCTTGGTTTTGGCTGCGTGGTTTCTCTTCTAAAACGTGTTCTTAAAGACTCAAAGATGTGTTATTTTGGGGTACTTACGCTGAAAAACCTTTTGCTTTTGTGACCACCGATATGGGCTCATAATAAGGCGTTTTCGTAGGTTATTTCGATGACGATACCGAATACTCTGCCAGTGCCTTTGCGCATATATCGTAACCTTTTCAGAGTTAATGGAACAATCCACGAAAACTCCTTAATGTTGCATTGCTTTTTGGCAGGGATATGGATTTCACTAGCATCTCTAACTACCGTAAAATACCGTGAAAGCACCCACTTTGTTCAAGCGCCCCCTATTAGCGTTTTGTATCTTAAGGGGGGACATGGCCTGGGAGGGTCAACTTTTGAACCAATGTCTCAAATTGATTCAAACTTTCAGGGTGAAATGAACCCCATTAGGATTGATGACATCTAAAGTTTCAGTCTTATCGGCCAACTCTACAACATACTATGCTTAACAAACTCCAGAAAAAAGTTACTTTATTAGGAAATGTATTTAAGAAAAATAATAATTGCAATCCACAAAATGTTTGGTTTAATGTGAAGTACAATACCCATAGTGCAAGTTAAGGTAAAAATTAATTGTAGAAAATGCAATTCTAGAGAAAAACAAAAACGCTCAAAAAGAGCAAACAATTTTAACAAATTTCTGAGTTTTAAAATATTCAGTTTTTGTCTTGAAGAATTTAGCTTTTTCAGATTATGAGTACCTTAACTTGTTCCTCAGTAAATTTCAGTCAAGGACAGCACTGAATGAAATCTTTACCCTTTGAAAATGTCCAATGATACATTTCCTCAGACCACATTTCCTGCCAAAAAGTGAAACTGAGAAAAATGCATTTGAAGTTTCAACTTTAGTTTTCTTTCTTTTCTGTGGGTCCGAGGTAGCCAAAATTCACCTGGCGCATTGTTAGAACCTTCCTCTTTGACACTTTATTGTTCCCCTGGCTATAGCTACCAGTTTGCGTCGTTTGTAGGCAAGCTAACTTTCGTAGCAGGCATCTCTTGACAGATAAAATGACAAGAACTAAGAGGCAAATAATACTAAGGAAGAGCAGCAGAGCAGAAATATGATCTAGAGTGGAGGATACTGTCAAAGGGTGTTACTGAAGATGGCACAATATCACATCACCGGGCAGGACCAATCGTAAATCCCGTTTCAGGTCTCAACTAATAAGATTGCTCATACTAAATTTTCACAATTTTTTTCTGTTTGGATATAAAGGGTTCTCCTGGCCATTGATACTTTTAAACTTGAAAGGCTTCTACGGGCTAAATCCAGAGTAAATGGCGCTTCCCATGAAGGTGAGATGTTCTGGCTATGTTAAACGAGTATAAAGCAGTGCTAAATAAATATGCAAAAAACTTGCTCTCTGTTGACTCGGAGGGCTGCCGACATGTCGAAAATAATTTATTGTGAGATAAATCCTGCATGTTTATAAATGAAAGTTTCTGAAACCATTCTTTGGAAGTTAATAAGCATAAACATATTATTTTTGAAAAAAAAGTTTTTTTCTGAAAATTTTTGAATTCCGAGGCCATGTCCCCCCTTAAGTGCCTAATTTTACTGGACAAGTGCCCGTGTCTAGATCAACACAGTTTTTAGTGAAAGTGCAGTCGGCACTCACCCAGTGTTTTACGGTAATGTGAATTTTGACCTTAACATCAGTGCAGCCACACTGAAATTGAAGCTATTTTTGTGTCCTGCATGATAACTTGTATAATAACTGTGGAAACATTTTGTGTGTTTGTGGTGAAGGGGAGAAGACATGTACTTTTTTGACACGTATAGAGTGTTAGGAGTCAGAGGGCTCTCGAGAAAATTAGCCAGAAAACTTAATGAAAACTGCATGTAACGAGGCGAAACCTTCACCAAAGGTGTATTTTAGTGGCACATTTTACCTCTTAAAGTTTCAGGATTGTGGCAGGCAAGAACGCAACATTTTTACTATAACGCGTTCGGAGATGCGTTCGAGGCACTGCAACCAACCAACTAATGGCCGTCTTGCACGGCGGTCTGAGGGAGCTATTGCTTTTGCTTTTCCCCAGCCTCCTCGTTGGCAGGCCTGAGCCCGCAGCCAACCAAGTTTGTGAAGCCCATGCGGACAGTCATCGAGGAACAGAGTCAGCAGCGGGAGGTCCAGCCCCTCCTCATCGAAGACGAGGATGAGCAGGTGTGTTCTGCCCTAATCGGTCGCCGAAACGGTAACGATGGAATTTACACTAGTTTGATCGTACTGACAAAGACGACCAGGGGACACATGATACGTTCGGCTGCCGTATGCATGAAGTGTATGGTTCGGCTAGCCTTGCTCACATCAGACCCCCCCCCCCCTCTCACACAGAGATAGCATGCGCGAAGCACATACTTCATGCGTATATGGTAGCTCAACATTCCCGCATCCCCCGGCCCTTGTCAGCGTGACCAAGTTAGTGTAAATTTATTGCTTCATAAACCAACCGTTCGCTGTCTTTACTCACCTGTTTTGCTTAGCTCAGTCGGTAAAGTTTCCGGCTGGAAGTCTTTTGGTCCTAGTTGGGGGTGTTCTTGTATTTTTGTGTTTTAATAATGGCCCTTACTTCAACGGACGGGCGTTGCAATTTTCCGTGGAAATGAGCGTGTAAACACGGTCTGCATTGATAATGCGGTGAAATAAAAACAGTGCAAAAGAAAAGAGAGGCGAGTAGAAGAAACTAACAAACCCGGACCGTGTTTCGAATCTCCTCGTTAAAAGGGGGCTCAAATTGCATTGAAGGTGTACAAGCAGGAGTGTGAAGTGAACATTAGTTTATTATATCCCATATTTTTCTATTCCTGCTAAACCACAAAGTCTACGAAAAGTTGGTTTCCAAAACTAGAACGTGCACCGATTCCTTACACGCAAAGTGCAGCGCAAATCAGTCAGAGCTAACATTTTTTGCTTGATAATGTTATTTCTGCCTGGTCATTCAGTAGATCACTATGATTGGCGATGTGCATGATCTGCGGGAAAGCAGATGTGCAGACCTTGTTAATAAGCAGCTGTTGTTCGAGCAACTGCAGCACTATAGTTTTCAAGTCGCAAGCAGAAATCGGATTTTCGTAAAAAAAAAGTCACTTTTTTACAGTACTCTGTGTGAAAACATTATTTCTTTATTTAGGGTGTAAGCTTTTAATGCCATCTCGAATGCAGTTTTAGGATGACGCCAAACGGGTCACTTTCCCAGCACCGAGACTGATGTTCCTTATTCCGTAACTTCTCTCTCGCTCTAGTCCGGAGACGAATCGCGCACAGGAGCGAGCGCCCGGTTGCCCTCGCCACTCGAGCCGTCCAGAGATCCGTCGGAGCAGACGACGGATGCAGGGAACCGTGCCGCGGATGTGAAGGAGAAGGAGGAGGAGTTCACGGAGTTTAAGTCCTTCTGGGCATCGGGCAAGGACGGGGAGGTCAAGTCGGAGGGCGGTGAGGAGCGCCACTCCAAGGTGGCGCCAGCTGCCATGACCCACTCGGCCACCAGCGACGGCATCGCCGACTTCGTGGTGAGTAGCGGCTGCTTACATCTGGGCTTACCTAGAGCCACAAGATGGGCTATGCTCGGAATATTGGCATTCATTTTCCCGTTTTCCTGTGGATGCCGCGCCGCCTTTTTGATTGGCAACAGCTACGATTAAAAAATTTTAGTCTTGTGCGAATAGTGGATTTTAAGTTCGAAGCGAATTCAAAGCGAATTGTGGTTTTGCTTGAATATTTTCGATTCGAATATCGAATAGTTTTTCCACGCCTTTCACTACCATGGCATAATGCTTAGACGAAAACCCAGCTAAACTTGTGAAGGTTGTTCTGCTTGTTTATTTATAAACTAAGTTTAATCTATCTATATTTATGAACTGTGACCTCAGAAGGTCTGGTATCTTGGGACGGCAAGTAAACGACGGATTTAACATAAAATGAATCCTGTAGAGATGGCCAACTATACCCAAAGGAGTGAATTTACATATCTTGCTATATAAAATATTTTTTCTTTAATCTCGAGTTAAAAAAGAATGAGTCGTGCATGATGGAGCGCAGGTTGTAAGGGCATCTCTGCCTAACATAGTATACTCTTGCATAACAGTTTAATTTTGAAACTTTTACTACAATGTAGATATACACATTCACAAACTTTTCATTTATTTTCGAATACAGTCGGCACAGGTGCACCATCCCGCTTTGAATGTATGCTTTACTTCCAAGCACGCAATTACGATATTCATAGTTTTCCAAGTGTTTATCGCAGCGGGTTACCCCATTGAGTGTGCTTCTTACCAAGCACCGGTGCGCTGCGGAGGAGTAACACCCGCGGAGCTCGCTTCTGTGGATATTACTTCTCCGCAGCGCACCGGTGCTTGGTAAGAAGCGCACTCAACGGGGTTAACCCGCCGCAGTCAGCACTTCGAAAAACGCGAATAGTGCAGTTATTTTCGGAGTGAATATTGAATAGTGTACTATTCGTAACTACTATTTCAAATATTGAATATTCGCACAACTCTAAAAAATTTCCACTTTCTGAGCTTTACATACGTCGTCTAGAAGCTCGGGCTACATCGTTTTGCTCCGTCATAGACCGTTGAAACGGTCCGCGACGGACGGTGTTCTGGAAGAGAACGCCGTTTTTGGTGTTTTCAGATGAAGCTTCGTATAATTGCCAACAACAATTTCAAGTGCCAGGACAGCTGAAGTGCAGTTACTCCGAAGCGTGGCTTTTTCAGTCGCTCCGGGCGTACCCTTCCAGACGCTCGAATTTTCGAAGCAGAAGGATGTGCCAAGATTGTATGTTTTCAGTTGACTCGCTCGCTGATAAATGGCACCACAAAAATCTTGTCATTAAAACTCCGGACATTTCGACTTACCCAAGTGGTGCCGTCGTTTGATCGCGCTGCGGATGCCTCCATTGGTTGTCTGCGACGGGTCCTCATTTTTGGCTTGTGGCGCATCCCACGTGTGTGGATACTTTCCCCGGCAGTGCACGTCATAGAGCAAACGTCCACAAATATCCCATAGACGCGAATATTCTCGTTTGTGCCGGGTTGGTTCGTTCTACAGCTGGCGCCTTTTCTTGCAGGGCAAAGCGGCCACCACTCCAAGCATGGTGTCGAGCGGATACGGGTCCCAGGCCCTGTCGTCAACGCCGCTGTCCAGCGAAGACTCCGGCTCGCTGCGGAGCGTCGGAGGAGGGGAGGAGCCGGGAAGTCCGGAAGTCCCTGATGCAAAGCCCGTGCCGGCCGCAGAGAGCCACGCCGCTTCCGTCAGGTGGGTGACACCCACGCTTGTTATCTTTGGTGCTTGCCTCCTCGAGGTTGCAAGAGGGCAAGTAGTTTCTTATGTGCTAGAAAGTCTAAGAATGGTATTTGTGAGAAAGTTGTGCAGTAAAATGCCGACCAAGCGCCCCTTCAGATGTTGGAAAAAATCACAAAAAGATGGGGAGGGTACTTGTTAGGTCCGAGAGCAGAAAAGCGGTATGGGCACATGGTAGGGTAGACCCTTCTTTGATCCGACGGAACGGTAGAGGAGCAGTATAGGAGTTTGGTGGAACCCCCACTTTTTAGCTAGCCATGCCACTTTCGTCGGGCCTGCTTCGTGCCAGCGCTCCCGCATCGAGCATTACCGCTTCGCACTGGCGTATGCTTGCAAGGTTTCACCACCTTACACCGACTTCTTGGAGAAGCAGTTGGCACGGAGGAACACCTCGCTTAGTTTAGTGGGCTCAGAAATTTTTCAAGGTGGCCACTTGATATGTCCTTCACGTATAGTATATTTCAAATGTTTCCAAAGTAGGCGCCGGCATTCAGTGCAACGTGGGCGCATGCTCGGTATTTGACTGTGGTCACATAGTCATTAACGTCATACTCCTTTTTGTGGCCTTTCAGCAAAAACGCTTGCGACGAGCACCACGCAGAACGGGCGGCAACGGACGGAGGAACCCAGGTGCCGACGGATACCGTCCCAAGAGTCGGAGAGGCATTAGTCGAGGATCTACCGGCAGTTCCTGATACGTGTGCGACCGAACCTAGTCCAGAGCCGACGACCGAGCGAGAAGTCGTCGGGCAAGAGGATGCGCCGGTAGTCGTGGAGCCCCCCGGGTCGCCACAGGACACTCCTGCCATCGGTCTGGTGAGTTGTCTGCCTGGCAACATAGGCAGGACCTACGAGGCAAAGGTATTCAGTTAATGTGAATACCTCTGAACCGCACGATAGGAAGGGCTGGTGCACACGTTTGCGTTCGAGTTTGATCGAATGCGTTGCGCCCACTCGTGACAGACTGGGACGAGAAAACAAGCTGGCACACTGGTGCCATCTATCGGATACGAATGGAACATCCCCGATCTGTATGTACAGTAGGCTCGCAATCATTCAAACTCTAATATTTCATACTTCTGGTTAATTCGAACAAATTCCAAAACTTTTGATGTCTTGCTATGTTTTTAGTGGACATGTAAGCCGCCCCATTCGAACGGCGTTTTCGTGTAAGGGCAGGGTTCACACTTGCGGATCCGCAGGCGAATCCGCGGAGATGTTGACGCCAGGAGCAATGACGGAATATTCGACTGTGGTGCAATCGGTCCGGGACCGATCTTTCCCGCGCAAAAACCGTTCCCACGCCGCCGCAGCCAATCGGAACGCAGGAAGGAAATGGCGTGTGCCCACAGCACATCCCGACCCAACTTGCCCGAGTTTTTAGGGCTGCCGCCGGAGTTGTCGAAGTTCCCAATTGCGAAAACAGCGCCGCCTCGCTCGTATCGTCGTGTCTGCAAAAAAAAAAACAGCAAAAAAAAAAAACAAGGAGTCTAAATTATTTTACTTTGTTTGACAAGAGGCATCTTAACGACGAAGACAGTGTCCACAAAAGAGGTCTATGGAATAAAAAAGATTGCTGCATGTGGTTCATACGCATATTGTCTCATTTGCTCCTTTTCTTATTGTTGCCTTCTCGTATCGCCGAGAGAATGTTGGGTATTTTCTCGGCACTGCGGGTTGGCGTTAACTGCAAGAGAAAGTCTGCTAGAGCATTTTTTCGAACTCCACTCGAAAAAGGGGCAGTCTTCTCAAATATCCTCGAGAGACCGGAGCCTGACAAGTGCGACGGGTTGCGACTAGTGGGAACAGAGCCATCTTTTTCCGGCTTGTAAATTTGGTCAGCGGCGAGAGATTTTTCCGCAAATGGGATCGCGCCATAATTCATACTTTTTGTTCTTGCGGCCCCATTGAGCACGCTTTTTACCGTGCACCGGTGAACTGCAGAAATGCAACGCCTCCCTCCCCCCCCCCCCCCCCTCCCACCACCCCGGTACTCGCTTCCTTGTGTGTTGCTTTTCCACCGTGCACTGGTGCTTGGTAAGAAGCACGCTCATTGGTGCTAATAGTTAACAATAGACACCATTTTGTGAGGATGAATAAACTTCAAATCAGATCAAATCAAATCAAATCAGTTTATTTTCACCTTATACAAAGAAGATGAAGGAGCTGTGGAAAAAAGCCACAGCATTGCAGCTTGACGAGTCCACAGACCCTTAATATTGGCAGCTAAGGAGCATTGTGCTAAAGTATTCGTAAAGTATTCGTATTTTCACCTTGTCTCGTACATTTCACCAATGTTTCATGTATGACGTACCTGCTCATGATGAGTAGGCCTGTGTAGAGGAAATCATCAAATATCAGTTTCGTATGCATAGCCATCCGTATAACAAATCATAAATTTAACTTGCATCATATTTAGATGAATTTCTGATCATTCGAACAAAATTTGTGGCGTCCTGGGGTTTGAATTAATAAGATTCTACCATAGTATATTTCCTAATCTTTTGCACATTATTGTTTTACCGTGGCCTCGAGATAGTTTTGACGTTGCTCTAAGCCAGGGGCTCTCAAACTTTCCAATCTCGAAGAACCCATATCTGCCTAAAATGGCAGCCGAGAACCCCCTGCCAGTCTCACCATTGATGGGGAAAAAGGCAGCACAAAAGTGTAAACAATAATAAGCACGCATGGAGATGTTTGGCTCATAGTTAGGCTTTTATGGGAGGCTCAGATCTACTAAAATAGTAACTAAACTGGGAAAACGCTTTGCCTATAAGCAGGAGCAGTCAATAAAATGTGGAAGCTCAGGGAATTTGTGAGGATATTCTGGGGATCCTCTGTGCTCCCATGAACCCAGTTTGAGAACCCTTCCTTAGTAGCACACTTAGTTCTGTTATGTCCTTAGGATGTCCTCACGTTCTAAGGATGTCCCGTGGACGTTCATAGGACATCCCAGAACGTTAGGACATCGTAAGGATATTTCCCAGAACTAAGTGTGCTACTAGGGTTGCTATAAGCAACTACTCCTCATAAATAGTGTATAGATTTGATGTTGCGTATACCGCAACACCACCAGTCTGGTTATACGCCGATCGGAACTGTTCCAGGGCTGCTCAACAGGTGGTGCCAGTGTGCCGGCTTGTCCTCTAGAGACCCTAGATTTAAAAAAGGAAGTAACTTAAACCACGAGGAGCGTTGCCAACGTAACTGTGGACACCGCCGACCATCCGCAAGTGTGCATGCACCGCATTGTCGAGTGATGAGGAGGAAAACAGGCAGAGAGGCCGAGGCATATGTAGACGGTTTCGTCGCCTCCTCGCAGCTTGTATTGCAAACGTGGCCCTTTAACCATGTGACCTTGATCGAGCAGTTGGAAGCCCTCCGAAATATGGGCTCTCTAGCATTCTCACATCTCAAGCTGTGAGAAGCACTCGTGACGCACTCAAATGCAAATGTGCGAACCGACCTTAAACGTCCGCGCCAACGTCGTCGACGCAGACGGCGGTGCAGCGGAGGCCGCAGACGTCGTCCCCGCGTTCCACTCAGCAGCGGCAGTCCTACCCGGCTGCCGTCGCAGCGAGCAACGCAAAGCCGGCCGGTCTGGCGCCCAACCTCGGCCTCCCGCGATCGGACTCCCCCGCCGACGGCGCTAGCCAGAGTTCGTCCTCGTCGGAGGAAAGCCTCTCTGTCAGTGCCGCCAGCGACGATGCAATCGGTGAGTTGAGAGATGCTGGTCCCGAACATATCTGTCATTTCTCGTCCAATTAATGTTAGGTTCTCATACCTACTGTAATTCTGGTGCTAGGCACTAATACTGTGAGGTGGTTCTTTTTTTTTAATCTTTTGTAAGTTCTCAAGACACTCTCAACTTTATCACAAATGTTTCTTCCCAACTTTCTTTTACTGCACGCCCATAAACTATGACACAATATTTGTCTGCATATTTTCCAAACAGTAGATAGTGGAACAAAACCATTTGTATAATTTTATTAGCATTCTAAAAAGTTATCTCTAGAAATAAGTCAATAAAGGCATTGCCAATTAAAAAAACACCTTGTAATTAATATTTTTCAGGAATGTTAGCCTTATTGCACTCCTTGATTTATGGGATCTCCAGCTCTGAAAAAGATATTCTGATCCAAATTCTAGATCCAAAGATAATCATGATCAAAACTTTCTGTTGTGAGGAAAACATTAATTCCGAGGAAACAGGAAAAGCTTTCTGAAACCCGCTTGTAAACAGTTCGGATACGAATTTTGGGTCAATGTAACTAGGATGGTGATCAATAAGTTTTAATGTGAAAGAATTAACTGGTCTAATAAAGCGAGACAACGTCATCAGCTTTAAAGCCGCGCCAAACGGCAGCGAAACTCCCCTCTCCCAATGGAGCCAAATGAAGCAGCGATCTGAAGGCTTCCAGCTTTGAAGCCATGCAAAAAGCCACAGAAAATGGCAGCTTAATTCACCTCTCCAAAAGGAGTGAAGTGAAGCCAAAATTTGATTGATAGGCTCCCATTGGCTGGCGCGCGTCATAGTTTCAAGGAATGAGGATCCCATTGGCTAGCGCGCGTCAGTTGCATGGAGCACCACCCCATGGTGCTGCGGGCCCACGCCGCAGCGCACTGGTAAAAGGAAGCAGCTGGCTGCGCCCAGAGTCCACTCAGGCAGACTTGGAAGCGGCGGCGCGGTCACTTCACGAGAGCGAGCGCTCGGCCTTCTCACATCAGTATGCCACACACAGACTAAGGGAGTGGAAGAACAACATTCATGCTTTCGCATTCACGACTCATAAGAAGTGCTTAGGTGTAATTTGAGGCTTTTTTCCTCCTAGGCTGTAACGTTTTTACTCAGTGATGGAATTGGAATATGTTTTTCGGCATTGTCCCCACCGGCGGCGATGTACTCTGCTACCGGCGCTCTACTCTCCGCGTGCCGTCGTAGACGTTTCAGGGCAGCTGTTGACGAGACCTCTAGGAGCTGCAGTTCCAAAATGTTTTGTTTCATTCACCCTACAGCCCAGACTTGGCACCATCAGTCTTTTGTCTTCTTTCAAGGTAGAGGAATATCTGAAGGGTACACTGTTTGCATGCGACAACGTGGTTACCGACGCAGTGCGCTGTCGGTGTCGTCAACAGCTGCCCTCAATCATCTGTGACAGACGGTGGAGAGTAGTGCACCAGTAGCAGAAGTGCATCGCCGCCTTTGGGGACCATATTCAAAATTCCTGTGCTCTTGGGAAAGAGGAGATTTCAAGCTTTCTTTTGAATGTAACATCTTTCAATTCCATCACACAATAAAAAAAGTTCCAGCCTAAGAGGTAAAAATTTTTTATCACTCTTCGTATATAAAAGTGCACTTCTTGAGTTTAGTAATTAGAGCATACATTTTTTGCGACAGACGAAAAAGAAAAGGTATGTTTTAGAAAATTCTCTTTGCATGATTTTCTCTCTTCAAGACCAGTGTCTGCTCCTGAACATATGGTTGGTGTTGAGGCTGTGTGTCCCCAAAGCACCATATCCTGAAGTGTCTGCTAGGTTTGAAAAGAGGAATAGAATTGGTTACTGGCTCCGTTATACATTTTCCTCGACACCCCTCCGTTTCCCCTGGCAGACGCGACCTCTACGCTGGAGTGGACGGCGCCCCCATGGCTGGTGGTGGGGGAGAGCGTGATGATCAGCCCGTACAACAAGACCGGGGCCGTGGCCTTCATCGGACGCACCCAGTTCTCCCCGGGGCTCTGGGTCGGTGTCGAGCTGGACACGCCCACGGGTGAGTCGTGCTGCCGGCGTAATCCAACACTCAGTTCACTCGCTTGCTGCTCCGAAGCGTTCAACACAATGTTTAGTGTCCGGCACGAGGTACAAGCTCTTTTTACTTGTCTTTTACAAACTGTACATGGGTACAAGATGTGATGACATCAAAGGTTGACCCGGGTAGATAAGGGAGCTCCGCCCGAATGCCGGAGTTTATGCATAACCGAGTGGCTTAGGGCAGGCATGGATCAGCGGTGTCCCTCACATTTGGGAGGACTGGCTTTCGCTTTTGTAGAGTCAAGTCGATAGCCTTCTGTCAGCCAGAACATGCAGCCGGATGTGAAGTGTCGCAGTCACGACCATTTGCACCTTGTATAACGAAACATTCGGTTCTTATCGTAGTGGTTGCTCTAATACACTGGAAGCGTAGGGAACTCGTTGTGGCTTTCCTTTTGCAATGCTAACAGGCATCTTTGCAGTGGATTAGTCTGCTCCACACCACCGCTGTCCGTCCACCTTCTCTCTTTGGAAAAACGCAGACAGGTAGCCCACCCTTAGAAATGAGGTAGCTTACCTAGGTTTAGGTAATTTGTGCAATATGGTAGGCAGTATGACTTTTGACTACAGTAGCTTTTTTCTCTTTGACAACTTAGAATAATAAACAAAGCTCCTTCTCTGTCCTTCCACTATTATACTCGAACGTGCAGTCCAAAGCAGCTGATGTTTGTACGAGTCGACGAGGCAGCAAGCCAATATTCTTTTTTTTCTGGTTCTTCTGGTCTCTCGTTGAACATTAGCCCACTTTTTACTTCAGTTGACCTTCTTGGGGGGGTGGGCCACCTTTAGGAATTTTCCTATTTCTTTTCTCTAAAATGCATTAAATCTATCAGGCAAAAAAAAAATTAAAAATTAACCCGTTTTTAGGGCATTGTAGGAGAGCCATAAAAGGATATCATACATGTGCTCCTTATGGCTCCAAGCCCCGTCTGTCTTTTAGTCTGTAAGGCACATCGCTGGTCTGTGTGATGCCGTACCACCGGCCCTGCCTGTCTTAGTCTACGATGTGCCTGTGCCTTACCGCCGGCCTCAGCTGTCTTTTAAGTTGACTGTGCGACTCTTCCGTTGGACGCCCGTCTCACCGAACGGTCTCTGTTGCCTCGGCAGGGCGCAACGACGGCTCGGTGAGCGGGGTCAAGTACTTTGAGTGCAAGCCCAAGTACGGGGTGTTTGTGCGGCCGGACAAGCTGGTGCTGGACAAGCGGGGGCGCATGGTGCGCCAGAGCCGGGCATCGGCCGCTGCCGCCCTCCAGCCGACCTCTCGAGGTGAGGCCATTTCCCAGACTGTCGGGCCAAGCGCTATGCTCTTTGTCACCTCAACACTTTCTGCTAGCATGCCAACGCAAAGCAGTGAAGCTCGGCGCTTATGCACCCATGCGAAGGGGTGAAGCTTGTCATTAGAGCACTGTTGCAAAACTGTGAAGCTGGGCACGTGCGCGCTTTTGAAGCAGTAAAGCTTGACACTGAGCTTCTAGTGCAGTGGTTCTCAAATGAGGGTTCGCGGATCCTTTGGGGTCCGCGAAGGCATTCTAGGGGTCCGCGAAGCCCTGCTTCATCAGTCAACGCGGAAATAAAAAACAATTTTTTTTCAGGTTGAGAAGAAATATTTTAATTTTCGGGTTCATTTGCTCGTGTATATGTCAATAAGAGAAGTTTACTTCACACTAGCCCTTAGTTATATCCATCTATTAAATCAATATTATATTTAACGTACCATCTTTCCCCTTTCCTCACCAGAAACGAGGTCCTTCATCATCTCCGCCGATCCAGAAGGGGTCCGCGAAACATCCATGGTTGAGAACCACTGTTCTAGTGCAAAGCGGTTAAGCTTGACATCGGTCTACTGGTGCAAAGCAGTGAACCTTTAAGCAGGTGCACCCCTGCGAAGCAGTGAATCTTTACGCCAGAAAGCTAGTGCGAGTCGGTGAAGCTTGACACCGGATCGCTAGTGCAAGGCAGCAAAGCTTGATGGGAGAAATCAAAAAATTTTGAAGGCGTTCGTATTTTTTAAATATTCGAAAAAAACTCGAATACTTTGGACGGAAAAAGCGTGCCGCAAATCGAATCGAACAGCAGACTCTATTCGTGAATTATTCCAAGTTTCAAATGTTCACGCACCTGATCGGCAAGAGCTCGGCCGAACCAAAGCGTCAGCGTGCTCCCGACTCCTCGTTCCAGGATCGGCCAGGGACGACATCATGTCCCGCAGCATGGGCAGCCTCCAGCTGTCCCAGGCCAGCAGGGCGTCCCTGGGCTCGACGGAATTCATCTCCAGACGCAGCAGCGGCCAAGACGCCCTGCGGCCCGCGGCAAAAGCGAGCCCGCGCGGCCACAAGTGAACGCGAGCTTGCCACCCGCCCGCGAGGAACGGCGCGTCTCCCGTCTTTTGGGTGCCCCTCGAACGAACCGCGGTCCCTTCTTGGTTCTGTCTTGGTGGTCGCAAGCTGCCACCCTCTGTTCTTCCAACGGGAATCCGGGGAATCGAGAAGCGTGCGGGGAGGGTTTGACGTCCCCGGTTGTCACCTGTTGTAAATGTTTACGTTTTGTTATTTATCGCGGTGGCGACCCCCACACACACTCCCGCTCAAGGCGTCGGTTTTACTCCAGATTTCTTTTCGTTGCCTGGTTTTGTTTGTTTTTTTGTGCGTGGATTGAGTTGCGAGAGTCAGGGGGACGAGCGGTCCGCCACGCGATCGTTCTCGGAACGTGCGGTACGGATTCGGGAACTTCCGTTTTTAGAAGGTTTTCTCCTTTTCATTTTTTTTACCCGGAAATCCGGCGCATCGTTGCAATCGAGAACCTTCGTGCGGAAACGCCGAGTCCTCGGACGGTGGTGCGTTTCGGTGTGCGTGTGCGTGTGTGTGTGTGTGCGTGCATGTTGTTCCAAAGATTTGCTAGTATTTTTCGTTACAGCCTTTTTGTTTAGTTGTATAGAGAGGTATATTGCATACATATTATATACAAATCTATATACATACAAAACGCGCAGTTCTATCTACACGGATTGCGCGCTAATCTGTACCATGTATATATGTGGGAGAGGAGGATCCAGAAGGTTGTATCGGTGCAAGTTTCAGCTTCCTCTTCGCCGGGTTTCCAGCACGTTGTTTTCAAGGCACCGGTGCGGTGTGACGCGGATCGAGTGGTGCAAAGAGCCGAGCGATCCGTCCCGGTTTTTATCAACAGTCGTCCGAGTGGATACATCTTTTTTTTTTTTTTGGCAAGTTAACTCGGCATTTATTTCCTTAGCTAGGTATGTTCGACATACCGAGGTGCACTTACGGTGGCTACGAAATTCAGCGACGCTCAGGTCTACTGTACGGCGACATGCCCGAGGGTTTTGTTTAGTCGCTGTCATTCCCCCAGAGATAGCCCAGGGAAACGTTGGAATGAATTACGAAATCTCGACAGGTCTCTGCTCGTCCATGGTGACGCAGCATGTGTTGCTGTGCTCCGTTTAGCCTTACGACGGATTGCAGCGGACGTTACGAATCATTGCAGCCAACCCAATGCTACGAACGTGTCACGTGACTGTACGCGTCCCACAAATCCCCGTGCCTCTCTCGTAGATCACGTGACGCTTGCGCGGCGTCGGATTGGCTCCGACGGCTCGTAGCGCCCTTTGCAGTATGTCGTAAGATGAAACAGACTTGTAGAATGGATGAGCACTTGCGTCCGCTTTATCGAAGCAACTGCAGTTTCAAATCCGCGAAGAACACCGCTGTCATCTCATGGACTTGTACGGTACAGATTGGAACAAAGTTATCCGTAAATGTTGCCTAACACTACCCAGTATTTTTATTTTTTTAATTTTTTGAGTCAGCATTTTCAGAAGCGGTAACAAAATAGAAAATTAGACCCGAAGGAGAGTGTAGGCTGTCACCGTCAATAAATGCGCTACCTTTTGGGGCATGATAGTAGTACTTCGTCGTTCTGCTGCATTTGATGCTTTGGGACAAGATACTTTGAGGATGTTCCTTTTTTTTCTGTTTTGCTTTTTTATTTTTTTATTAAACAAATGAGTTTTACGTAGTGGTGCGTAACCAGAGCAATAGGAAGGACATTAGCAATACCGAGAGTGTGGTGCCTGGAATGGTTCCCCAACCGGCGTGTTTACCGCGTCCAAAAAAGTCTTCGCCAGGACCAGGACATTCGACAGAGCAACACTCCGGCTTTTGCGACGTCATTTTTGCCACTTCGGGACCGCTTTCGGTGCACGGATGGAGTGGGACGCTAGACACGCCGGTCAAAGATGCTTTCCAGGCACCCTATTGAGAGTCATTGATATAGTATACATATATATATCTGAGGCAGTGGATCGAGTATTCAGTGCTTGCACGGTTATGGGTCCCTATCGAAACTGGCATTGGGGTAATCACGAAATGCGCATATTGCATTCCATAGCTGAAACATTCCATGAGTAGTGCTCACGTTTGTAAGCACTTCCAAGACTTTTCACTCCCAACGGCGATCTCCAGAAGAAGATTGGGAAAGGTTTGAGGGGGGCCCGTTTATACCACTGCCCACAAAGCACCAGTCCCCGAGTAACGCATTGTCCGCAGTCTGTCGTTATTCCAGTGTATTTCGAGCGATTTCATTTTTCGCTCGACGGGGGAAGGGTTATGGCAGCCAGAGCTTAGTCTTTGCTAAGCTTTCGGGACTGCCGTCCGACGTTTCTCACACTGGTTGTGCGTGTTGATTGGCCCTGGTTGCTGTTCCGGGTTCAAGTGGCGGGCCTTTTGTCGTCGCTGACACAAACAACATCTTGTCTGTTCTGCGTGCAAGGGACAGCCTGTTTGACCTCTCAGGCACCGTTGAGGGCCCTTTGTGATTTAAAGTACCGTGACTAGGACACTTAAAGCTTTGGATTTGACTTTGGCTTTTTGTGCACACCACCATTCGCATGCCCAGTCTCGCTCGGTGAACATAGGAGCGTACGTTCCTGCAGACACAGTAGGAAACACCCGACTGGCAACCCTTTTAAAATTCGATCGCCGACACGCGGCAAAGAGAAACGCGTTTGCCAACGATGCCAAGTGGTATTAACTGGCAAGTGTTACCGTGGTGCCGGCAGTGTGCTTTCTTTTCCTGTCTGCATGTCCCCCCCAAAAACTTTAGTGTTTTTTAGATTGCAGAAATAAACTGTGCATTGCCGAACGCTCTTTGCCCGCTTGGCTGTAGCTTTAGCGGTCCGAACTAGGTGCTAAAGGGGCCCGTTTTTGCCCGTTTTCGGTAACTGACCCCATTCAGCTCCACATATTAAAAAGCTCCGTCGACCACCATTTTCACATTTAAATTTTCAGAAAATGATGTCTAACTTTTTACATAGATAACGGTTAGTCCTGGAACTCTGGCGTTTGGTTCGAACCGCTAGCACCACATTTGGGCAGAAAATGAGCGCTCATTTGATGCATAGTTCATTTTTGCGGAGAAAAAAATAACCCTGTACATTTTAAGGGGGGACACCCCATAGAATTGGTCGACCCTTCGTTTAAGGAGACTAAATCCTGAGGAAACACACATCTTGGGATGAATGTAGCAATGGAGAGCCATTTGCTGTCCTCGGTGCAGAAGACAGTCTTTTCAGTGTGTTGCGCAGGTGCAAGAATTGTCCGCAGTCTTAAAGACAAGATCAGCTTCGCGTTCTGGGCACTACGAGCCCTCGAGCCTCGTGTCCGGACCCCATACGGGTGCCGGACCTTTCTCCGCCGAAGGAAGCTTTGCCCCCAAGTCGACTCTTAGAGTCTCGTAGCCAATTGCATAGCCGTCCCGTTCTCTGTAAACGTAGCAGAGCCCCCCCCGACTGCGACGTCCATTAAACGTCGACTACCCCGTGTGCGGCAGGAACTTAGTCCCAACCTCCAGTAAACAGTCTAAAAGTGAGAAAGACGCACCACGCCGTTGTTTGTGAGCTTGCATCGCATCCCTCTTTTTTTCTTTTTTTTTTTCGTTTGGTGGCATGCACAGTGCTAGTCTAGAGGTGCTCGAGCATAGCTTCAGCTTTTTTGAGCTTGTCTCGAAATTGGGTCACGGCAGGATGAAAACAATCAAGTTACGTGTGGTCGTCTCGCCCCCTGACCGCTTTCCGCTGCAGGGTCTCTCTCTTTTTCGTTGTTTTGTTGCCGTCTGCACGATGTCCGAAGCGTAACTGCCCGACGGCAAGTCCGGTAGGAGTGGCGTCCGTCTCTGCCCCGATTCCAGACGGGGGGGAGAGAGGTCCATACGGTTGTTTCTCGGGGGGAGGGGGGGGTCGGTTCCCCCTTCCCCCTCCTCCGTGTGAGTCTTTTGTGCGAGTCGAGTGACAGTGTGTGCGTGCGAGCATGAATGAACTCGGGGGCCCCGTTGTATCTAAAAAAGGATCTTATTCCTCTGGTGTTGCTTTGGGGAGACTAAATGTGTGCGTGACAACACGTCTGTACCGTTGGCCAAACGTTGCCACTATGCTACTTTTGCCGCGTTATAGATATAGAATAAAGATATCTGCAATGTAGCGAAAGAACCTCACTGTTTGTGCTATCTTTTCTTGGTTTGTCCTTTGTGGCCTAATTACACTATGTCTAAAGTTGAACAACTTGTATGTCGCAGACATGCTGGATGTACCAAGTTGGCAATCGACGGCGCACACAAATTTTGTGAGTAAGGTAGTGGTATCAAAGCACGACCACAGTTCCAGCAAATTGCTCAGCAAAAAGACGACGCAACAGGGACAAACACATAAATGACCAACAAAGACCAGTTAGCAAAAGGGTTAATGTAATGAATGTGTAAGATTTTGTCTGCGTTTATTTTCACGGCACTTCTCATCTTTTGCACCGTTTATGTAATCAATCCCAAAATTGCCCAAGCCTTCATTTTAACAAGTTCTCGTGTATGCAAGCAGCCTATCAACAGAAGGAACGGCGAGTTTTCAGAATTAAAAAGGTAAGACGGGCCCTGACTTTTGTGTGGTCCCTTTGACTGGACTGTCGGCCACGCCTCAACAAAACTTGCTTATGTATGAACTCGCTCGCTCACCCTCACCTGGAAACCTGAGATTAGCGCTGAATGAATTTTCGAGCCTTAAAAACTTCTGAGTTTGAGTAATGGTGTGAGCTGGAGTATGTGAGTTATTTTTGAAAGTGCTGACCTCTGCTGTCAGCACTGGGAAAACTGGTGAGAAAATTTTGATGACTTGCATTGCAGAAAATGTGTGTGTGGGGGGGATTTTTGTTGCCCTTTTTTGCACACAAACTTGCACAAGGCTTTTGATGATGTCAGATTGCCAAGCTCTTATTGGCTGATTGAAAAAAAAATAGTGGGTGGACCTCAAGGCATCTAGCGTTGAGCCCGGCTACCCACCATCTTTTCAATGGAAGCCAATCTGAGCTCTGCGTCGTTCTGACGTCACCGCAACTCCTGTGCAAGAAGCAGACGACTTGCTGCCCGCATAAAAATTTATCCTTGGAAGACTGCACCACTGTTAAAGGGATACTGAATTGAAATTTGTATTTCGCAAAATAAGGCCGCAAAAGCGTTGAACGGGACTCTACGAACCCTAAAACATCACTCGTACATTGCGCCCTCATTCGGCAAATGAGGGCGCGATCAAGCGGAGGCTATGACGTCGTGGTCCTCCTGGAACATTTGAGAATGAGGGGCAACGGCCTCGCTTTTCTCCCCCCTCACTTCGGTTCACCAGGAGAAAGAATGAGAATCGTGACGTGACACGTCTCGTCAACAGTGTTCGATCCTGCACTTTTCCAAAAATGCGGCGATCTGTTAGAAATATCGCTGTATGAGTGATGTTTTGGGGTTTTGCAGCATCCTGTCTATCCGCTCAGCTTGTTTTATGAGCTTGAAATTTCAGTTCACTATTCCTTTAATGTCGCTCTTGGTGTGGGTCCAAGTATTGGACGGGAGATAGAACTACAGGGGGCGCTTTATCGAGCTTCTTGTCTCCACGGCCCGGTGCTTACTAACACAACAAATAAATTGAGCCTTGCCTAGCCAGGGGCGGATCCAGAATTCCGTTTTGGGGGGGGGCGGAAAATTTGTAAGGCTACTATTCTCCGATTCTTTCTTGTGCACCAGCGGGTCCACCCATGTCAAATTGCCCTCCTAGAAGGGGGAGGGGCAGAGTCTACTTCGTTTGGGGTGGGGTGGGGGGGGGGGGTGGCCGCCCCCGTCGCCCCCCCCCTTGGATCTGCCCCTGCGCCCAGCACGGTCTGGGCGCGAGCATTTGCTCTGACCAGTGCTTTAGTCCAGAGGTATGCAGTTTAGAAAAGCTCATTTTAGCGATTGCCGTCTTACCGACCCGTTCATCGAATCCTTTTATTAAGAAACCTATAGTTTAGAAAAAAAGGCGATGAGTCTCCTTTTAGCGAATTCGGCCGCCGCGAAGCGGCGTGTACGGATGGTTCAGGTGAGTTAACTTTATTGTAATGAGCTGCCACAGACTGCCGCCGTGATGTGGCGAAAACACAGGTGGGCGGTTGTGTTAGCACGCTCCCTAGTGATACGTACACACGTGAAGCAGGGAAGCCTTTTTAGAGTGCGGCTCTTAAGCGCCCATTGCCGGGTTTTGCAGCGTCGGCGTAACTGCACTAAATTTAGTGAGAAAATTGACGCCACGTGACCTTAACACCAGCTCAATTCCCCGCTAAATATACCAGGGAAAACGACGTTGCATGATTTGGTGTCACGTTAGCTATGAACAAATTCAGTTTGTCCGCTAGATTTAGTGAGAAAATTGACGTTGCGTGACCTCCACAGCAATTCAATTCTCCGCTAAATTTAGCGGGGAAAATGAAGTGGCATATTGCCACGCGTGCTGCCGAGCAAGCGCGTGCGTGGCCGAATGGTTACTGTGCTTGACTGTCGCGCGGAAGGTCTAGGTTTGATTCCAGTGAGTGGAATGTTCTTTTATTTATTCTTTCAACTTGGCGTTCTTGTAAGTTCGAGAACATTGTCGCCTGATCGAGTTCTGAATGTTCTACACGCCGAAAGTTCTATGCCAAATGTTCCAGAAACCCACGCGGGTACATAAGGGACTCCGCATGGCGAGCGGAATCAGTCTCGCCCCAGCGTTCAATCCTGCTGTTTCGCCGACATTGACGCCTGCGACACTAGCCTTTATCTGTTTTGTTTTGGGCACAAGTTCGCCCCATTAAACGTTTAGTTTGCTTCAGTTTCATCGCCTCATCAACTATCATTTGTGAAAATATGACTTCGTGTCATATCACCCATGAACAAATTCAGTTTCTCCTCTAGATGTAGTGGGAAAATTGACTTCACATGACCTCAACAGCAATTCAATTCACTGCTAAATTTAGCAGCAAAATTGATGTCGCTGAACCTCAACACCAATTCAGTTTCCTCACTAAATTTAGCTGGGAAAATGACGTCGCGTCTTGGTGTCACGTCACCTATGAACAAAAAATTCAGTTTTGTACGCAAAATTTAGTGAAAAAACTGACATCACGGGGGGGGGGGGGGGGGGGGGGGTACAGAGGAGGAGGGGCATACCCTCCCCCACTCTTCAAGAGCTGCGCTCTCGTTTCGCATTGCAGAGATTTGTAAATGTCTTCAATTTTTTAAAGGAGCTGTGCAACGATATTCAATTGGAATGTTTTTTACTTTACACGAGCTTACTGTCACACCTGGGACTCAAGGATAGTCACACGCAACGCCATTGGCCAAGAAACTCCTTTGTTGCGGTGTAATTTCAAGGACAAAAGCGATCATTTTCATTCAATCTCTCCTTTGCAAAATTTGATGACGTAACTCGGGGATCGCAGTACACCCAAGTGACGATATTTGAATGCGGTTTATAGATAGGACCCGAGCATTGCGTGGGCACTCGACTTGGGCTCGTGACAATTGCTAGCTCGAGAAGCATTCGGGTTGTGACCCGTGTTCAATCGCTGCAACGACGACAACAGCCGAGCCATAACAATGTCTGGAACTCAGCGCGTGTCCTGCGCTTTGCCAACCCCAGCGCATGGCTATGATCAACACTGGCGGCATATAATCGGCTCCAGATCACGTGGCCGCTTGTTCTGGCTGCGAGTTGAGGGGGTGAACGCTGCTCGTTTTTCTTTAATTTTTTTTCTGGGACTTCTATTGCGTGGGGTGAAAAACGAACGCATGTTTCATAGGCCATTAACGTTAGGGATCCGTTTTAAGCGGTATTTGCGCAAATTACAAAAATTGTTGCATCGCTCCTTTAAAGGGCGTTCCTTTTAAAAAAACGGAGTTTCCCTAAATTGAGGCTCCGCTTTTTCTAAGCTGAGCTTCAATAAAATTGGCTCGTTCTCTAAAATGTGCTTCGATGAAATGGCGTCCGATCGATTGCAATAAACCCGTTTTAGTTGCATGAAGGAGTGTGGCCTTCAAATCGTCATCTTCAATTTCTCGGATGAAAAACAAACAAGAAAATACGGTTGGTTGTGCCCACAGCTGCGACCTACCGCTAGAGCTGTGACTGTTCTATCTTTTCCCGATATGGCGGCTCGGGTCAACAGGTCAACGTCATTAAAACACTCAGTTGGGGCACCGTAGTTGGGAAACTCGCTCTTGAAGCACAGACCGCTCACGTCCACCGAGACCAAACTAAAAGCGATAACAGCGCCGCCCTTTAGCGACGAGTCAAAACATAAAAGTTTATTTATATAGCGGCTGCGAAATGGCACTCCGAGATGGCGCCACCGGCCCTTATGCAATTTTTCGGAGTGGCCGCTACGGGAGAAATGGCGACGTTGCGATCGCCTGTTCCGCCTGTTCCAGAGCCGTGTCTGACCTGTTCGGTTGTCGAGTGCCACATAGTCGAGTACGGATCGGAGCAACTTTCTTTTGTTTTCAAAGTAGGCTCTATGGAAATTTCCCAACTGAGTTGTTCTAGTAACGTTGGCTCAAGTCCCACAGGAGGTTGTGCTGCATGGATGCTTATGCAACCATGCAACCTTTACCTTACTAAAAAAATAAATAAAAAAAAAACGGCAATATAGCTTTTTTTGTTTTTTTAATTTTCGACAGGAGAAGGGTTGCGGGGGGGGGGGGGGGGGGTAGACTAAAATGGACTATAGATGGTTGCAAAGTAAAATCATAAAGTGATTTCTGGTTTTTGCGGGTAAAAGTGAAACAGGAACTTGATACTTGAACAAAACGATGATGATGGTGGTTAAGATTGATCGAAGCGCCGCGTTTCGTTTCTTTTGTTAGAAGGGATCGAGAGTAGACCTTGGGGCTCTACGAGATTATCAAACATGTCGTCTGCACAGTTGGCAATGTTGGAAAAGCTAAACTGTTCTTCTGTGATCGTGACACATTGCTCTCGTGCAGAGTAAACCAGTAAATTTGTGAACGTGAACGTCGTAACACAAGCTCTTTCAAAGCAATCAACAAAAAGAAAAATACTTGACGACACTTGTTATGCTCTTGGAATGGAAACATGTCTTGGTTGGGCGGAACGCTGTCGTCGCTCACTAATCAAATCTCCAGCCTCACAAACGAAGTGCTGCTCGAAGGCAGGGAGGAATCAGACGGTATGTGGAACGTTTGCGGTAAACAAGCGCGGCGTCTCACTCAATTCTAACCCATGCTCGCTTCCGCAAAACTTGCATGTCTATCTTTACGAATTCACTAACCCCTCCAACCCGAACGAAACGGAACAGCTCGATACCGTGCATGTTCTTTACCAGATAGGCTATCCACGATCCGTTCGAAAAGCGTCCGCGGTGCTCGGCTACCCGTGTTCCCTTCGAATCGCAGTGTTATGCAACGTGTAACAGGCACGAACCTCGTGCAGTGGTGCGTGCAGCCGGTTTGGTCTGTGACCTCGACATCCAGTCCTTGAAGCTAAGCAAATGCAGGCACCCAGTGACAACGCCATAAAAAGATGTATAGGGGGAAAAAAAAGGGCCGAAGGTTTCTGCGAAAAGCTACTTTTGAAAGCAGATTAGCTAATAGAGGGGAGTGTTGTACAAGGAGCGTCTTTAGCGACTGGAACGAGATAGCCGAGATATGTTGTCACACATGCGTTTTGTAACTTGTGTGACTTCTAAGCAGTCTGGTCTCGTTTCTTGGCGCAGACAGGGTAGCGCAGTTGCAAGTGTCCAAGGGCCGCCTGGAACAGCTGGAAGGCTGCAATGCAACGCTGCGAAAAGAGGTAATTCTTTTACAATTTCCTCACACGGCTGGCTAGCCACCCGTGTTCTGCGAGACAAGTGGTACCCGACGAACAAGAATGGCCGACCTGTTTGGTGGTCCTGGTATTGCTTGAGTGTAGCCACCTCGTGCAGACCCTTAGATACCTTGGGCAGGTTCTACCTACTGCTTGGTCGATCTTGTCTGGACATGAGGAAATGGAAGAAAACGAACCGGCGAATCGGGCCAGTTTGAGTTTGTATTCTTTCGTACCCTCGAGTAAGAACTTTTGCGTGCCCCTTCTATGTTAGGAACTTGTTAGCTTTATCTGACACACACTGCTGAATTTTGCTGCATGGTGGCACGTTGGCCGATACCCTGTCTGATCAGCTTCGGGTTCGCCACAGTTGGTGTTGTTTGCGTGTCTGAACGTTGCAGGGGCCCTGCGGGTTCAATTGAGGCTACATTAAATTAATTTAGCATGGAAGATGCTTAAAGGAATTTGTTTCTACCTGAGGGAACGTCCTGTGTAAGGTAAAAGATATTAGCAAACATTTACATTTGCTAGAGAAATGGTGTGTATGCTACCTCTTTCCATCTTCAGCTCACCTGGAACTACAACAGATCAGAGACGAAGCAAAGGCACAGATTGTTTGGAAAGAATATATACAAAGCAAACATCAAATAGTGACGGTGCAACATGAATACATATATACAGGGATTCTTGGGTAGCCGACCATACAATATTGAAATCTCATTGAGTTACCCCAGAAGATCAGATGTATCTTCAGTCGCAGTTGTCTCAAAGATCATTACCAAGGTCATCATGTTCAATCCTGCCGATCAATCATTGGGAAGGGGTCGTCTCTGCACCACCGGTTGTTGCCTTTCCCATGCAGACCTACGCGTGATGCTTGTTAGGCGTTCGTTTTTCATGCGCAGTGGATATTGATTTTGGGACCTCAGCACGTTGCTATACCACCTGTGTTCTGCAGTTCTCCACGTTTTTGTCCAGAGTAATTATGACCCTGTCACTCTTCAGGTTGCTGTCGCGACTACCCATGACTGCTTTGGGTCATCACCAAATCTATTGATCGCCTTGAATCATTACCACAATATCTGATTCTCATTTTCTCCGCCGCTTTGTCCTCACGAATACTTCTTGATCGTGCATATTTGGCATGCAGGCAACCAATCACTGACCTCTGTTTTTGTCCATAGCTCCACAGTCCTTTGACGTCTCTAACCTCAAAACTTTCCTGACACTACAGTGAGGAAGTTTTCTCAGAAATAAGATGACTTCCCTGAGGGTGGGGATTATATATATGGGCCAGGTAAGGCATCCGGTTAATCGGTAGGCAGATGTCTATACTCTGTACAATGTTTTTTGCAGAGTGTTTGAAAGGGCTGCACAGCATTACTGCTTTTCTGGCATTGCCTCAATAGCCGGTGCTTTTATCAGTGACGCTATCAACACTATAAAATGCTATTGGTGTGGTAAAGACTGTGCAGCATAGCACTAAAACATTAGGAGGGCTGCACCCCACACTGCATCACATCATGAGTGCTTCAGGCCAAGGTTGGCACTAGGAATGACGCTACAGATTCGTCTGGCGTCGCACTCCGCTTGAGGAGGAGGATTGAAGAAGGACGGAGAGGAGGAGGGAAGGAAGGAGAGGGTGAATAGAGAGAGAGGAGGAGGTGGTGGTTAGGAGGAAACTGGGGAAGGGCCCCCAAAAAGTTTCTTGTGAAAAAAAAAAGAAGAAAAGAAGGGACTTGGGGTTAGGGACGTCCCGGAATGACTGTATAAAACAGTTGGATTGCTCTCTGCACGAGCTATCGAAGGAGCCTGTTACTAACTAGTCTTGGCATAAACGAGGCTTCCCGTATAAAAACAACAACAAAAATGTTCGAGTTTTTTTTTTTTTGTTAATTTATTTGACATATTTTTAGGTGCCAAAGCTTTGTAGAAAAAAGGGGTAAAGCAGACGAAAAAAAATGACAAAACAAAAAGATACGGCGAGAAATACAAACATCAAAAATACACTTTGAATAGCAAAAGCTGAAAGCAACATTTGTTATGAACAAAAGTCAAATGATTTATGTTGGCTCATCAAACAGAGATTGGTGAAAAAGAAAATAATTGGGTATAGTTGCGACATCTGCTGGAAGGTGGTTCCAGTCGTTTGATGTAAACGGGATAAATGAATCAAAAAAGTGTTGGTTCGGCAATGTGTTAATCCAACTTTATTCTGATGATTCACACGGGAAGAGTGTTAAATGTGGAACTCGATTGAGGTCTTAGTCTTTGAAAATGCCTGATTCTATTTCATTTTTCAGACAACCCCACAGGGGACTGTGATAGCTTAGGTAAAATAACAGCGGTTTTTCTGGGCCAGAGGTGTGCGATCAAATCACTATACTCTATGCATCCCTTCAATCTAGTTATGAATGGACAACCATAGCTTGTATGACAGCAAAGGTTTGGTTGTACCTGGTTGCAGTTGTAAACCTTTTGGTAACCGGTTGGGCTAGACAAATTCTTGTCAGTTCCGCCGTATTTGTCCAATTACGGCTGAACTCGTAATAATCACATCTGGACCCTGCCTTTGCCAGTGTCCTTAATATACATTGATTCACAAGACTTGTTATTATGATTCACTAGTTGGTGCATGGTGACGAGGAAACTTGTTTGCGCAAACAGACAAATACGAAGAAGAGTCAAACAAGTGCTAGATTGATTGTTGGCATGGAAATGGCACACATCATGAAAATGAAAACACCTTTCCTGACATACAATTACGGTTTCGGATTAAACAAACTGCACAGAAAATAAGAATGTCTGCATCACAATAAAAGCAGAATTGGCAGTAACTAGCACAAAACCATCTCCCCAAAGGATGCTTTCAAAGCAGGAGAAAACATTCAGTCACATCCACAGGTGCATTTCATAACAGATTGATCGTGCGAGATCTGGGCGGGGAGAAAGTTTGACAGCTGCGCTTGAAATTTTGTCTCGCATAAATCTGTCGGATGTTTGAAGTCGCCTTGCCTTCCAGTTTTGGTCGGCCTAATTTTTTTGAAATCAAAAATGTTTCGAGCAGGTTGTTTAGCTAGTGGCTAACCCTGCCTCACTATCCGAGTCGTGGCCTGGTGGATTTTTCCTGGGAAATACTGGAAACCGAAATGAAATGTGACCACTTCCAGTGTTTACACACCTACATGCTCCCCGAGTGAGCTCACCGTTTTGATAAGCGTGCAAATGCATAAGTTGAATGCTGCCGCATTGGTCCTAGTGATGGCTGTAGCCAAGGGCATCAGTATGTGTAGTCGGTACGAGGAAGCGACTGTTTTCTAAATTTGGAAACCTGACGTTTTGACATTTTATTTATCCCGTATTGAAGCAGGGAGACGAGGCATGCTAAAGAAAAGCTCTGCCCCCAGCATGCACCCATTGCCTTCTGCTGGGCTTCGACTGCTTTAAATTCTTAACCATCGCTCTTTGTTTTTTAATTTATGCTGAGTGAGTTTATGCTCGAAATTTGAGTGTGACGATTGATTGAGTGAGTTGCACGTTTCATAGGGATCTCAGTTCTCTGTGTCTGGTAGTTGGTTTCGACAACGCCTTTTTAGGTCTCAGAATGACATAACTTGAATCACGCCACGACGTCGCATGAACCCCGCAACTCAGGAAAAAAAAGAAAAAAAAATATTGTGGCAGCAATTTAAATCGAACGCCGGGCGTCTGAACACTGAACAAACTAACGAGAAAGAATATTTTTTTTGCTTGCTCATGTAGTCAAGCAATTGAACAGCAGTTCGGCAAAGTGCTAATAGATGGCGCTGCATGTCTGCAGCTCTCGTGGCGCTTCCGCCCTACAACGTTTCACTTTGAGATGGACCGCAGCAGACGTTACGAGCCAATCCAGCGCGGTGCCCGCAATCACGTGACTGGGCGACACCCGTCTATTGCCGCCATAGGTCGCCGCGCTCCTTTCGACGGTCACGTGACCGTCACGTGGCATTGGATTGGCTCCAGTGGCTCGTACGATCCGCCGCGGTTCATTGTACGCTACCGCTCTTCCATGCTTTCCCTGCCTGTAAATCTGCGGCGCTATCAATGGTCGTGCTGCAAAGAAAACGAATAGTGATGGACCGTGGACTCTCACGTAGGATCCATAGCTTCCAAGACGACAGCGGCGCTTCGCTCGCTTATTTACTGCCCTGCCTCGCTCAGCTTGTATCCTCGGCTCCTCCGTCCATTGGGTACCGCTTCGAAAGCACGTAATTCTCACACACTCAAACGAGAAAAGAAAAAAAAAAAATATTGAAATCACTTTACGTGACTGGGCGAGCTGCGTTGCAGAGGAAACTGTACCTCGCTTACTTCATACTCAAATATGAAGATTCGTACTCAAATATGAAGATTCATGCTCAAATATGAAGAAAACCTAGTTGATAAGAAGGGAGAAATAAATAAGAATAAGACAATAATGAAGTTACATCTTGTTCTCTTTTTTCTGCTAGAGGGCAGAGCAGTGTCCAAGTATATATATATATGTAAGTTTAAAGCTAAGGATATTTAAAGGTATGCGTCTAAATATAGGGTCGGAACGAGGAAGCGAGACCCCGCTTTTCATCTCGCATAAATAAGCTACGCATCGCAGGAAACTGAAACTGCGTGAGATGATGTGGTGATGGAAGGCGACTGATTTGAGAACATACGCTACCTACCACCTTGTTCAAAGGTATAAAACGGAAACGTTGTTTTATCCTTGGTTCGACGTAACGCCACGTTCTCAAACTTTCGCGTTCTACCTTTGCTGCACATGCACACGGAGGGAGTTCCAGCTTTCCGTTGTGCAAAGTTTATTTATGAAAAACAAAAAAAACGGTGTTTCGTTTTTTGTTTTTTTTTATATTGGACCCTGTGTTTAGATTTAAACTGTCGACTTAGTACTCAGCTTTATGATTTTGAATCTCCTTAGATTCAAATTTTCGAAGATCTTGCACTCAAACAGA